TGCTTTCTTCTGGGTCTCTGTGTGTGTTGGTGCTGCTTTCCTTCTCAGGGTCAAGTCATGTTCCTGGTGTGTGACTGTGTCAGTTTACCCACGCTCCTCCTCCTATGGAAGGGCCTGGCTGTAGTTTCCTCTCCTGCTGTGGAAGGACACCTGGCTGTGCCTGTAGTTTTGTCTGTCATGTCCATGGCTGCTGTGAACACCTGTGTATAGGTTTTCATGTGAACTTGTGTGGGTTATCTTAGCCAAGGAGAAGGTGCTGGATTCCATGGGGTTTAGGTTTGGTTTTTTTTGTTTTGTTTTTTTGTTTTGTCATCATTGAGATTTGGTCTTTTAGTGTAGCCCAGGCTAGCCTGGAACTCACTGCCTAGAATAGCTTACTGCTTAGCCTTTCAGGAAAGGACAGGCTGTTTTCCAGAATGACCCGAACCCTGTCACAGTTCTTTGACAGTGGCAGGTGAAACTCCCTGATTTCTCAGTGTCCTTGGCAGCACCTGTCACTCATTATTTGCATTCTAGCCGTTCCTGTACTGTGATTAAGTTTTGTACTTCTTGGTGACTTCCAGAAGCAGTCTGAGAATTTGAAGTAGTCTGTGAAGCCAACATGGAGGCTGGGACTGCTTCATTAGATCTGCAGGCCTGAGTTTCTCAGGCTGGTGTTTTCCGGCACCAGTGCCTGCTTGAAGCAGGGAGGCTGGGTGAGGGTAGAGTGCATTGCTCATGCACGCCCACAAAGCAGCAGGACTGCCTTGTGAACAAGACCTTTATTAAGTTTAGGCAGGTTTTTTTTAGCCTGTTGGTGATGGGGCTTTGTGTAGACCAGGCTGGTGTTGAATTCACTGTGTAGCCAAGGATAACCTTGAAGAGCCTCTTGCTTCTACATCCCTAGTGCTGGGTTTATAGGCTTGTGTAGTCACACCTGGTAGGTTCAGGTGGTTCTGAACATTAAACTCAGGTCATGTGACAGGGCTATTTCACCCTGGAAAGGACACCATAAATGTCCCCAGGCCCCATGATTGTCCTAGGACTAGGTTTGTTTTCTGGGGAAACATGTGGCTTGTGACTTTGGATAGAATTAATTGCAACACTGTTTAATCCATGGCTGTTAACAACCCCCTTGTGGGCTGGGAAGATGACTCAGTGGGTAAAGTGCTTGCTGGGCAAGCTTGAGGACCTGAGTGTGAGCCTCAGTATCCACGTAAAATGCTGAGAACAGCAGCGCAGGCCAGTAATTCCAGAGCTGGGGTAGGTGGTGGGAACGGGAGGTTACTCACTGATCACTCAGCTGGTCAGTGTGATCCAGGTTCTGTGAGAGGCCTTGCCTCCCAACAGTAAGGTTGTAAGCCACAGAGGAAGCCATCTAGTGTTGAACTGAGGCCTCCAGGTATGCACACCCACGTACGCACGTACGTACACATACACACAACAGAAAAGTTTACATCAAAATAGTTTCCTGGTGTTTTAAAAATTCATTAATGTATTTATCAAGTTCACTTTTGTTTTTGTTGTTGTTACAAGATCTGTCTGTAGCCCAGCCTGGAATTCACTGTTGAGCTCACAGGCTGGCTTTGAACTTGAAACAATACTCCTGCCTCTGCCTTACAACTAGTGCAATTACAGAGAATATGCCACTGTGCCTGGCTCACTATTGAGGTCATAGAAAAGACTGGCCAGGTGGCCAGCCACAGAGCCCTATTTGTCAAGATAGAGCCCTGTTTGCCTGGGAGGGTTGGGGAAGGTTTCTTGTCTGTCTACCAGCCCCACGATTGATGCATATGTAGGAATCCTGCCTAGCATGCCCTGACTTCCATCCCTGGCAGTGCATAAATCAAGAACGGTGGCTCATATCTGTAATCCAGCACTTGGGAGGTAGATGAAGAAAGATCAGAAGTTCCAGGGATTGCTGATGTGAACCTCCTCACCGGCCCAGAGCCATGCTCTGTGCCTTGAGCTGTCTTGCTGGCTTTAAGTTGAGCGTGTACATTGACTACCGCCAGGCCCTGTTGCCCTCTTCCTGCCTGCCACAGGATGTAGATACACTGGGACTTCCCTTGGCCTCTAAATTATCTTCAGTACCAGGCTGTTCCCCCCTCAACCTTTTTGAGGTCAGAACAGTGCTCAAAGGCCAGTTTGCAGGTGTGTTGCCTGCGAGCGTTGTCCTCTTCCTCCCACATCCTCCTGTCCCTAGCTGCTCCACCTAGGTGTCCTCGGTGACACTGACATTTTCAACACAGCAGGTCCACAGGTGAATTGTCTGCTGTCGGCTCCTCCCACCCCAGGAGTGGCTTCGTAAAGCACATAGTTCAAGGCTGGAGGGTCTCTTTTATCAGCTCGTCCAGCCCACAGGTCTCAGACCTGTTCCGTAGGTTGTCATCTTCTTCACTGGCACCACACTGGGCCAGGGCTGTCTGCTCTTCTTTCCAGAATGGCCGCTGAGCTCTGTGGTGCCCTGCCTGGCCCTCTTTCTCCCACATCCGAACTGCTTTGTAGGCATTGCTTACTCTTTGCCTCTCATCTATGCCACAAGAGGGCAGAAGGGGCATTTCTATGAGGGTCTAGATCCTCACCTCACTGGTACATGGGAGGCAGCCAGCAAATATTTGTTGAATGAACAAGTGATTGACAGTTGACACCATCTCATTCTGCAGGTTAGGCTGATAGGTCAATCAAGCTGGCCTCAAACTTGTGGCAATCCTTCCGCCTCATCCTCCTGAGATGCGTGCCACCACACACAGCTAGCGTTGGTCGATATCTTATCTTTGAGTTATATATATTATATATTATACATTATACATTATATATTAATATAATATTATATATTATATATATTAATTTCTTTTGCAGGGCTGGGATAGAACCCAGGCCTCATATACATTAGCAAATGATCTGTGACTGAGCTACATCCCCAATTCTGCTTGTTGATGTCATGTAGCCCAGGTTGCCCTCTATCTTTTAGTATAGCCAAGGATAACTCTGAACTCCTGACCTTGCCTCCATCTCCTGAGTGCTGGAATTACAGGCATGTGCCACCACACACAATACTGGGCATCATGCCCAGGGCTTGTGTAAGCTAAACAGGCATTTTTCCACCTGAGGTACAGCCTACAATCCTGACTGCCTATATTCTAAAAAGGCACATATTTAAGGATTTTTTAAAAATCTGAGTGTTTTGCCTACATGCATATATATGCATGTATATATAGTGCCTACGGAAGGACAGAAGATGGCATGGGATCCACTGACAGCTGTTAGTCACCATTGAAATGCTGGGAACCAAACACAGGTCCTCTGTAAGATTAATAAGTGCTTTTAACAGCTAAGCCATCTCTCTGGTCCTGATACCTGTTGGTTTTGATAGGTATCTCAGACCCTCCATCCAGTCTCGGTAGCAAAGTTACTATCTGATGAGAACACACCCATAAATTAGATTTTATTATTGTTCTGCATAGCTTTTTACCTTGTATCTTATCATATATATATATATATATGTGTATATGTGTGTGTGTGTGTGTGTGTGTGTGTGCGCGCGCGCGCGCAAATACATATATGTATACACATATATACATATATGCATATATATATTTATACATACACTTTGTAACAAACAGCTTTGGAAAATGGGTTGTACACCTTCAGAAGAGGGAATGCCTCAGGCAGTGCTGGAGAGTGAGGGAAGCTAGGAAGAGAAGAGGCGAGACACTTCTCTGTGCTGCGTGTGGAGGGGGTTGGAAGCTGTTGATTCCGACAGACAACCGGAGTAAGTGAAAATGAGAGGAAAAGAGTATGTTGTCCATCTCTCTCGTTCTATTATTTACATGTACTAGTCTACACTGTGTTTATGTGCATGTGAGTGCAGTACCCACAGAGGCCAAAAGAGGACATCAGATCTCATGGAACTGGAGCTACAGGTGGCAGCGAGCTGCTTGACTTGGGTGCTGGGAATTGAATTCAGGTCCTCTGCAAGAGCAGGAAACACTGTTTCCAGCCAAGCTGTCTCTCCAGCTCCACATCCTCTTATTTTGGGGTCTGGGGATCTAACCTGGGCTTCACACATGCTAGATACTGAGACAGCACCTGTAGATTTCTATGATTACCTGTATTGAATTGGACAAGTTTTCGCAGAAGAGACCTTGTTTTTTTTTTGTGCAGGGATGATGAAGGCCCCATACATGGGTGCTTAAGATCAGTTTGACTTTAGGACTGGCCTCAAAGGACCAGGACCAGTGAGGGTCTGTGCAGTATGTAGGATGCTAGTGGAGGTTTTTTGTTTGTTTTTGAGTTGGGGTTTTTCTATGTAGCCCTGGCTGTCCTGGAACTTCTGCTGTACACAGGCTGGCCTCAAACTCAGAAATCTGCCTGCTTCTGCCTCCTAAATGCTGAGATTAACGGCATGCACCACCATAGCCAGTGTAAAAAGCACTTTTATTTATTCCATGTGGTGGGCAGGGCATGCACACCACAGTGTTGTTGTGAAGGTCAAAGGACAACTTTGTGGAATTGGCCCTCTCCGTCCACCTTTCCTGGGTTCTGAAATGGAACTTACATTGTCAGTCTTTGGAAGAACAAGCTTGTCCAGTTGAACTATCTCACCAACACACATGGAGTCTTTATAACACTGTCCAAAGCTGGAGACGCAATGGTCCTCTCTGGATGTCAGGGTTCAGGGCCGCTGGGGCTTGTTTGTGGCTACTCCATGTGTGTGTGCACAACACTTGAAGGGGATGGGCTGCAAGAAGATTCATCTCTGCAGTTCAGGTCAATGCATGGCCACCAGTGTCCTTTGCCATGCTGTCTGAGGATGCCATTGGAGGTGTGGCTCTATGGGATAGGCAGAGGGGGTTGGTGGTAGCATGAGCCCACACCGTCACCCCAGGCCTTTAAATAGAGCAGGTCTGATGGGGCCAGTGTGAATCTGTTCAGCCACAGGGTTCACTTTGAGAAGGCCTTCCCCTGCTGGTTCCTGGTGCCTGGCTTCTCAAAGCCATCTCTCACCCCTTCTCCAGGTCACCATTCAAGATGGCAGAGGCTCATCAAGCTGTGGCCTTCCAGTTCACTGTCACCCCTGATGGCATCGACCTCCGCCTGAGCCATGAAGCCCTCAAACAGATCTGCCTGTCGGGGCTGCACTCCTGGAAGAAGAAGTTTATCCGATTCAAGGTTGGTTGCATGATCGTCACTGCAGTACTTGCTCAGGGTGTCTAGTGCACCTCCCTGGGCCCTGCTGAGGAAGGAATGTGTCTTAGGTTAGTCTCTGAGACAGCAGTAGTCCCCACGCTGGCCAAGGCTTGTGGAAGACACAGATGTATAGAATGGCCTCCTAGCTCCTCCTTATTGTTCCTTCTTACTGTTGGGTTTTGGGTTTTTTGTTTGTTTGTTTCCGATTTTCAAGACACAGTCTCTCTGCATCCCTCACTCTCCTGGAACTCACTCTGTAAACCAGACTGGCCTTGAACTCACAGAGTGCTGGGATGACAAGCCTATGTTACCATGCCCTGGAGCGCTGGTGGGACTCACCAGATCAGTGTAAAACAGGCCAAGCAGCTGAAGCCAGAGCCAGGAGCCCATTTATGGGAGACATCGTCAAGATAGGAACACAGTTCTGCCCTCTGCCCCTCAGCCATGTCCCTGGCACCTTACTGAAAAGGGTTATTTTCAAACTTCAGTGAATTTGTATCTTATTTAAAGAAAAAGTTTCATGTAGCTCAGGCTGACCTGTAAGTCTCCATGTAGCTGAGGATGACCTTGAATGCCTGGTTCTTCTTCCTCTGTCCTCCCTGCTGCTGAGCCACAGGCATGCTTTTGTGGGGGTTTATTAAGTTTCTTAGGGATTGGTTGGCTTCAGGGATGGAGATCAGGGGTTTGCTCAGGCTGGGCAGTCAAACCACCTCTTGAGCCACATCCCCAGTCTGGTGGGTTTGTTGTTGTTGGTTTTTTGTGTGTGTGTATGTGTGTGTTTGTTGTTTTTCAAGACAAGCTTTCTCTGTGTAGCCCTGGCTGTCCTGTAGACAAGTCCTATAGACTCTGTATACCAGGTTAGCCTCAAACTTACAGAGATCCACCTGCTTCTGCCTCCCAAGCACTGTGGTTAACGGTGTGTGCCACTATGGCTGGTGTATTTACATATTTTTAATTTTAATAAGTTTATTTACTGATTTATGCTTCTATTTTTGAGATAGGGTCTCATTCTAGTCCAAGCTAGACAATCATCCTGCCTCAGCCTCCAAAGTGCTGGGAACATCACACTGGCCTCTGAGAAGAACCTTTTGTTTTTGTGACATATGTAACTAAGGCTAGCCACAAACGGACAGTATAGTGAGGGATTCCTTGTAGAGTTCCTGATCTTCCTGCCTCTACCTCCTGAGTGCTGAGATCACAGGTGTGGGGCTTTAGTTCTCTTTAAAAAATTGTTTTACTTTTAATTATGTATATCCCTGTGTGTCTGTGTATGGGTAGGTGTATCTGAGTTGCAGGTGCCTGCAGAGGCCAGAGGCATTGGATTCCCTGAAGCTGAAGTTACAGGTGGTTGCCAGATACCTGATGTGGGTGTTAGGAACTGAACTCGGGTCTTCTTCAAGAGCAAGTGCTCTGAATTATTGAACCTTCTCTAGCCCCAAGAATGTGTTTAATGAAAGGTTTTTCTTTTTGGTCTTGTTTGCCTATGTGTACAGGGGTGGGGGAGAGAGAGAAAGAGCATGCATGAGTGTGTGTGTGTGTGTGTGTGTGTGTGTGTGTGTGTGCGCGCGCACGCGCATGGAGGCCTGACCTTTACAGTGGATATCTTCCTCTATAGCTTCATTTATAGAGGTGAGTCTCTCACTGAACCTGAGATCACTGATTCTGGCTAGTCAAGAGTCTGGCTAGTCTAGTTAGCCCACTTTCCTTTGGAGCACTGGGGTTACATACAGGTGGATGCCGTTCCTGCCCGGCGTTTACATTGATTCTAGAGATCCAAATGCCAGGCCTTCCTCCTGCTTGTGTGGTAAGTGCTTTACCCACTCAGCCATCTCCTAGCCTTGTTTTACTCTTTTGAGACAATGTCTGGCTCTAGCCAGGCTGCTCTGTAACTAAAGGCAGTTCCGTCTTAGCCTCTTAAGTGCAGGGAAGATGTATGAGCCCCCACACCATGCTTGGAGGGCTGTTATTGTTAATATCAATATTATTGAGTTAGTGTCACTCTGTATTCATGGCTGACCTGGTACCCACTATGGAGATCAGGCTGGCCTCAAACTCACAGAGCTCTGTCTGCCTCTGCCTCCCAAGTGCTGGGATGAAATGTGTATATCCATTAAGACTTTATTATGCTAGGCATGGTGGCACACTTCTCTAATCCCAGCACTCAAAACAAAACAAAACAAAAAATAACAAAATAGAATTAATCTTTTGTAAGACTCAAACATCCAACAAAGCAGAGAAAGCCAGCTCTTCCCACCACCCTCCTCCTGGTTCCCAGAGCTGGTGGAGTCTGACCAGCTCTGAGTCATTCGAGCCTTCTCTCCCCTAGCCCCTCTTTTTTATACCAGTTTTTTAATTGGGTGGGCAAGATTGGAGCTCAGCTAATGACCTGCATTTGACCCAAAGTTCCATAAGAGAGCAGAGACCTGACCTCTGACTTCCACCATTGCACTTTATGGTCTTTGCATCCACCTCTGCACAATAAATGAATGTAACAAAAATTATTTTAATTTAAACTTTATTTTACTGGGTTGTTTTGTAGTAATGGTATGGGGACTCCTGTAAACGCATCTTGACTCAGGAATGGGGCAAGGGGAGTTTGGGAGTTGGGGTTCCTGACTGCCAGATAGTGGCAGACTGGGAATGGGACCTCACAGTGCCAGAGTTGTCAGTCACCGTATGGAGACCTGTGTGGTAAGTCAGGCCTGGCTGTTCTACTGACTCAAAATCCTTCATGGGGAATCTCCCAGGATGCATTTGGGCTCAGAAGTCAGGGGAGAGAATAGATTGTGTGAAGGTGAGGCAGTTGTGACTCCAAGAAGAGACACAATTACTGGGCCTTGGTCTTTGGTGGCCTGTACACGGCACCTTCTCCCTGCTGCCTGATGTCTCAGCTGCCTATTGCCACAGGGCTGCTGACAGACAGTGATGGTGGCCTCAGGGAGGGTGCTGCTCACAGCCGACTTGTCTTTCCAGAATGGCATCATCACTGGTGTGTTCCCTGCGAGTCCCTCCAGCTGGCTTATCGTGGTGGTGGGTGTGATATCATCCATGCATACCAAAGTGGACCCCTCCCTGGGCATGATTGCGAAGATCAGTCGGACCCTGGACACCACGTGAGTAGCCCGCCCCCACCCTCTGCATCTTGAAGAAGATGATGACTGTCCTCGATCTGGACTGTCTCTGTACAACGCTATTGCTGTTCTTCCATATGCATCCTCTTTGCTTTCTTGACCTGCTATTGAAAGTCTGCAGACACTGCCACCCTTCCTCTGGAGACCAGGCTAAGAATGGCAGAGGCATGGGGACCTGCCTTCCAGGTGTCTGTCTTCCTGAGGTCAAACTGTGGCAGTAGATGGAGCCAGTGGTGACCTCAGAGGACATCTCTGCCCCAGAAAATGGCTCCCAGTGTGGTTGTTGCCCTGGGGTTAGTCCGTCCAGTGATCTGGTCCTCTGAGCTTACTGCCACTCATTGCTCAGGGACACTTCAGCCCTTGGCCCCTCCACAGTGGCTTAAATGACCTGCAGGGAGGAGGGAGATCCATTACTCCTTAGCTTTGGGTTTTAGTTTATTCTGGGAACTTAAAAGTCGTCGTCATCCTGTTTAGGGACAGGGCCTGGCCAGCTTTGGCTCTCTCTCTCTCTCTCTCTCTCTCTCTCTCTCTCTCTCTCTCTCTCTCTGTCTCTCTCTCTCCCCCCCTCCCCCCCCCCCCCCCCCCCCCCCTCCCTCCCCCCCCCCTTTTTTTTTTTTTTTTTTAAGACAGGGTCTCCCTGTATAGCTCCAGCTGGTCTGGCACTGTAGACCAGTCTGGTCTAGAACTCAGAGATCTACCTGCCTTTGCCTCCAGAGTGTTGGGATTAAAAGTGTGTCCCACAATACCTAGCTTTTTAAAAAAGATTTATCTATTCATTTTCATGTATATGAGTGTTTTGCCTGCATGTTTGTGTGTATGTATGTGCACCACATGTGTGCCTGGTGCCCTCACAGGCCAGAGGAGGCTTTTATATTTCCTGAAATTGATGTTAGAAGCATTCGGTAACTACCTGGTGTAGGTGCTGGGAACCAAACTTGGGTCATCTGCAAGAGCAACAGGTGTTCTTAACCACTTCAGCCCTGTAAGACTTCTCTTGAGTCCTTTGGACCTAAGGCCTCCTGTTGGATGCTGGACCTGATCTAGAAGGTAGATAGGGAACATTCCACACATTTCTCTGTGTTGGAGCCTTGGAGCTCCTGCATGCTAGGCTAGCTCTTACCACTGAACCACACAGCCTTAGATCACCCCTGGTAACAGTTATGCCATGCAGGGCCCTGTTACCATCTAGGATGGAGGCTGTTAGATCCTCTCAGTGTGGAGTGGCTGGGCACAGAACATAGGCACCTCAGTTACCTTGTGCATTTGGACACATTTTCTTCTTTTGTTTTTCTGAGACAGAGTCTCAAGTATCCCAGGCTAGTCTCAAGCTGCTGTGTAAGGTAGGGTGACCTTGAACTCTTGATGAGGTTAACCTCAACTCTCTGTGTACCACATGGACTGCAGGCATGTACTACCACTCCGGGCTCAAACATGCTGTCTCAGAATTGGCCCTAGCTGTCCTGTGTCACGTGAGTCCTTCAAGGCAAACAGTGGTTTTATAACTGAGCACTGACTGAAAGCTCCTTGCTTTGCACTTGGCCTTGCTTCCTGGCCAGAAGTTGGGGAGGGGTCCTGGGTGAGGAGTCTTGTTGAGGGTTAACCTCAGCTAGGAGTGTGAGAACCAGCCTTAAACTCAGGACCTCTGGAAGAGCAGCAAATTCTCTTAACCACTGAGCCATCTCTCCAGCTCAGCTCTAGGCTGTTCCAGTTTCTCTGTCCTGGTTGTTCAGCTGTAGATACTGTACACTAGGAAGGATTGCACAAGCAAACAGATGAGAGACTGGCCCCAGGGGACGCTCACAGCTGGAAGAATTGGTTTCTGCTGACTTAGGTCGACTAGCAGATTTAACCCAGCAGTGTGGTATGGTTTAAGACAGCTTAGAGTAGGTGCTCGGGAATCCTGGAGGTCCTTCTTTAATGGCTCTCCATGCCCTGTCCCCTCTCTGATTGAGACACCCAGGAGTGACTGAGAAGCCAGCCAGCTCCTCAGCCTCTACCCCTCCAGGCAGCATTGGTCATTCCTTTGTAAGCAACCGCAGGAAACAAGATAAAAATGCTTGTCCAGGCGTCCTGCCAAGGATCCTGTCTGCCTGGGGCCTGGAACATCCAGCTTCGATTAGGTTCTCAGAAGCAGCTGGCAGATCTGGTCACTAAAGACTGGAGCTGTGCTGTCCTGAGAGGTGAGGGAAGTCCTGTGGACACTCACCTTACAGCCCTGTGTGTTGAGCTGCCTGCCTGGCCCGAGGCAGCTGTGAGGTCAACAGCCACACTTTGCTCTTAACATGAGCTGTGTGTGTCTCAAAGCCGGATTGCACACAGCTATGCTAGCTACTAAAACCTGTTTAATCTTGGTCTTTATAAGATTTGTTACTTCGTCCCTTGGACTCTATTTTCGTAAACTAGGTCATCTCTGGCCCAAATTTAGAAAGGCCAGGTGAAGGCTCAGAGTCTTGTAGCCTGGAGGGCTGTTCTAGAACTATCTTCCCAGTGTGGATGAAGCTCCTGTGTTGTGTCCCTAGGCTGCTTCAGTTCTGTCTGATTAGATCTGAAAGGAAGATCATAGCGGTTATCAACACAGCTAATTGTTGGATTACTTTTGTTGTTGTTGTTGTTGTGGTTGTGTTTTTGTTCTTGGTTGTTTTGTTTGTTTATGTTTTTTAGTTTGTATTTTTGAGACAGGGTCTCTCTATGTAGCCCTGGCTGTCCTGGAACTTGCTGTGTTGACCGAGCTCACCTCAGGAACTCATAGAGATCTGTTTGCCTCTGCATGTGACACCATGCCTAGCTTGGATTTTTTAAAAAATTTTATTCTATGTGTATGTGTAGCCTACATGTATGTCTGTGTATCATGTGCGTACTTTCGGCGGTCAGAAGAGGGCATCAGATCCCCTGAGACCAGAGTTTCAGATGATTGTGAGCCACTTTGTATCTGTTCCCAGCAGCTGCAGGAGGAAGCATCTTCTGATGACAGTTGTGCTAGGCACGGATCCTGTTCTTGGAGGTGAGGTCTCCAGAGCATAGGTCTTTTACCAAGGAAGAAACTTGTCTCTTACGTGATGTTAATGTTTTCCTATATTAGAACCCTGAAGGTTAGATATGCTACTACTCTGATCATTTGGGACCTCTTAGTTTTGTTTTTTTAGATTTGTTTATTTATTATGTATTATTTACCTATTATGCATATAGTATGTATGTATGTATGTATGTATGTATGTATGTATGTATGTATTTGTATGTACGCTTGCAGGCCAGAAGAGGGCATCAGATCTCATTATACATGGTCATGAGCCACCATGTGGTTGCTGAGAGTTGAATTCAGAATCTCTGGAAGAGCAGCCAGTGCTTTTAACCTCTGAACCAGGCCTGACCTCTTGGTTTTTAATAGAACATCTTTTATTTGTTCCTTGATAATTCCATACATGTCAACAGGGTATCTTGATCAAATCCGTCCAACTCTTAACTAGAACCTTGTTTTTTAACCCTCTGAGTTTATTTAGCGCCCCCTGCTGGAGTGTCACTGGTCGGGCCTGCTGGCCAGGTCCACTGCTCAGTGAGTCTTGTCTGCTGGTGCACCCTTTACACCCCTTCTTCCTTGATGTAACCTGAGCCATGAAGAGGAGAGGCTAGTTTTTATTTTTGTCACTATTTTTCCATTTCTAAAATAACTAAAATAACCCCACAAAACAGCTGTGCTTTGTCTTCATTTTTCTTTCATAGTCTGTGACTTTGATTTTTAACTACTTTAAAATTTTTTAAGTTTTTTAAAAGATTTATTTATTATTATTTATGTGGGTTTTTTTGGTTTTATTTTGTTCTGTTTTTGTTTTTGAGACAAGGTCTTCTTATGTATACCATGCTGGTCTTGAACTCACAGAGGCCTACCTGCCTCTGTCTCCAGTGTGCTGGGACGTTTGAGTTTCTTATGAATAAAAACAGCATCATATTTGAGGGCTGGGGATATAACTCAGGGGTTGAGCCCCTGCCTAGCAAGCATAAAGCCCTGTGTTTACCCCTGGGCACAGCAAAACCCTGCAAATACAAACAAGGTATGTTTGAGAGAGTGGCAAAGCATTATAATCTGAAAACAGGCCAGGATCCCTGTGTGCAGCAGTTGGCAGTCCCCACCCACTGGAAGCAATTGCCATTGTGAGCAGCTCTCTGCCCCACAGGAGCCTCTCCATCATTCCTCCAGAGACCCAGAAAATTGTGTGTTGTTCAAGATTGCTCAGGTTGCCGGCTGGCCTCTTGCTTTGTCCTTGGGGCTAGAAGGCTCACTGTGTTGCCCAGGCTGGTCTCTGGTCTGACACCAGAGTGCCAGGACCACTCCAGAGACAGGCCAGTCTGCTGCACCCAGCCAGGGCTGGCTCATTTTGAGAGAGGTAGAGACTGCCAGAGTACTATGAGAGTTGGGGTCCCTCAGGTTTCCTCTGCTTCAGGGTATTGCAACCTGCTTTTTCTTGTCCCTGGGAGGGTGCTTGGTTAGCCTGCTTTCTGGTAGCTGCTATTGCCACCTTCCATGCCAATGCCTTAGCTACTTGTCTGGTCCATCCCCACAGTGGCCGCATGTCAGGCCAGACGAAGAACATCGTGAGTGGCATCCTCTTTGGAACCGGGCTCTGGGTGGCCATCATCATGACTATGCGCTACTCACTGAAGGTGCTGCTCTCCTACCACGGCTGGATGTTTGCAGAGCACGGCAAAATGAGCCGAAGCACCAGGATCTGGATGGTAACCACCCGCCGCCTGCTAGGGGACCCGCTGTGGCGGACCCATCCAGTCAGAGCAGGACCCTTGCCTTCTTAGACCTCTCCTCCTTTGTCCCTTGGTGTGTGACCTGTCCCCAGCCTCTGGCTATGGGAGAGCTATGGCTCACCTTGACACTTGCATGGATGGAGCCAGAGCTGCTTTTGCTAATGGTTTCTGGGAGTTCTGCCATCTCTCCCTCCGTTCACCTCTGTGTGGCCTGTAGTTCAGGTTGGATATTGAGCCTAAGTACCACCCACGAGGTCTTTGTAGCCTTGGGGGCCACTTTGCAGGCAGACACCAGACGGTTTCCTGAGCTGGTCAGATCACATGATTTACCCTAACCAGGCAGTTTTCTCCATTTCTCCATGACCTTTAGCCCAAGGCACCCTGTTTAAGGGAGAGGGTTATGTCATATGCATGGGTGCTTGTCAAATTATAACTAGTTGTGGAGACTTTTGTTGTTGTTTAGTTTTGGTTTTTGAGGTGAGGGCTCATGTCATGATGGCTGGCCATACATTGACTGTGTAGCGAAGGATGACCTTGAGTCTCTGGTTCTCCTGCCTCCAGCTCAGACATGCACTGCCATGCCTGGTTTTTTATGAGATGCCAGTGGTCAAACCTGGAGCTTCATGCTTGGCTTACCCAGTTGAGCTGTCTACCCACTGAAGTACATCCGAAGCCCCAGCGAGCTGCTTTTATAGGTTTAGTTCTCTGGAGTGTGGGGGTTTGGGAGTGGAGGATGGTGGATCACTCCCAAGACCTCCCTCTGTGGCACTCAGATCCCAACCTCTCCTTCCCATACACACACCATTGTGTGTCTGTCACATGTTCCCCCACCCACATATTGTCACCAATCTTGGCTTCTGATTTTTATAAAGAAATAATAATTTTCTGCACCCAAGGTTTGTACAGGATTTTAATGAATCTGGTCCTGGTGACATTGTCTTTCAAATTACTTCTCAGTGGGTTCCTTCTTTGTGCTTGGGAGGAGTCATCTTAGCCTTGACCTTGATCTACAGGCCAGTGTGCCCCCCCATCACCCGCACTTGTGAACTTCTTCCAGGTTCCCTTGCTACCCAGCACACACTCCTGGCCTCCACTCTTTCCCAAACCAGTTTCCACCTTATATATGAGTTTTATAATGTCCAGAGTAGCAAAACTTAACCCACAGGCTTAAACAGTGTCCTCTAGGATGGCCCTTGTGGCTGATGTTGGACTGAATCCCAGCACTCCTGAGCATCGGGAATCCTCACCTACTATACCTTGAACCCTTAGAGATGCCCTAGCTTCTGCCAGCAGGAGACAGCTGCCTTCCATAGCTGGCCTGCACGATCTTTGTACAGGCTGTGGGAGGAGCTCACTCTCTAGGTTGCTTGACCTGATGGGCAGGAGGGACACACTGCTGCCCCTGGGAGTGGCTTGAGGGATCAGGCACCTCAGCTGACCGTACTCCGTATATGCAGAGCCAGCACCAGCTTCAAACCAAGGACCTTCCAGGAGGCAGACAGCCCACCTGCAGAATCACTGTCAGATCCTGGGTTCTTAGGAAAGACAGTAGGCAGCCACACCAGAAGACATTTTTTTGTTTTTTGGGTTTTTTTTTCAGCTGAGCTTTTAGTGGGACCTGTATTGTTTGACTGGAGCCCGACGGTGTAGAACAGGGAATGGCTCTGTCATAAACACTCAACAAGTCATATGCAATTGAACCCTGGCTTTGGCTCCTTAACACAGTCTCATCTTTGAAAATGTAACTTGTATCTTCAGGCTATGGTCAAGGTCTTCTCAGGTCGAAAGCCCATGTTGTACAGCTTCCAGACGTCTCTGCCGCGCCTGCCTGTCCCAGCTGTCAAAGATACTGTGAGCAGGGTAGGTATGATTCACACTCATGACGAGATGCCTGCGTCCTTGGGGTCAATGTTTCTGTCTAATTGTGACCATAAATTGCAGTCCTTAATCTTTGTCATTTCTCTGCAGTCTCTTCTGTACAGTTATTATAATAATGTCCCCCAACTCCCAGCCACAGAGTCCTTTTGCATGCTAGACAAGTGCTCTGCCAGTGAGCTACATCCACAGTCCTTTGATACATATTTTTTGGTACATATTTTGATACAAGGTCTTTCTAGTTAACTCACGCTGGCCTTGGACTCTTTTTGTGTACTTGTTTGGTTGGGGTTTTTGTTTTGTTTTGGTTTTCTTTCTTTCTTTCTTCCTTTCTTTCTTCCTTCCTTCCTTTCTTTCTTTCTTTCTTTCTTTCTTTCTTTCTTTCTTTCTTTCTTTCTTTCTTTAAGATTTATTTATTTTATGTTTATGAGTACACTGTAGCTGACCTCAGACACACTAGAAGAGAGCATCAGATCCCATTACAGATGGTTGTGATCCACCATGTGGTCGCTGGGAATTGAACTCAGGACCTCTGGAAGAGCAGTCAGTGCTCTTAACCTCTGTGCCATCTCTCCAGCCCCATGACCTTGAACTCTTGATCCTCTTGCCTTAGCCTCCTGATGATAGACGAGTTTCACTATCCATGGCTTGACCCTGTTTTCTCTAGAGCATTTTTGCATCTGCAGTGTTTAAGGGTGCTATGTCCCACCTATTGGGGTATATTTACTTTTTAGTGGTTTTATTGAGATCCAGTTTAAGACCATATGGTTCCCTTGTTTAATGTGGAAAGTTCAGTGATTTGAGTGTAACCATTACTTTAAACTGTGGCAAAGACAACATTTATTATTATTTTTTAAAAGGCTGGGCATGAAGGCACATGTTTTTTAATCCTTGTACCCAAGAGGCAGAGGTAGGCAGTTCTCTTGTGAGTTCAGAACAGCCAGGGCTACACAGTGAAACACTATAAAAAAAAACCCAACCAACCAACCAAACAAAAATGGAAGAAAGAAAATGGTTAAGGAGATGGCTCAGTCAGTAAAATGCTTGCCTGACAAGCATGAGGTCCTGAATTTGATTTGTCAGAACCCATACATAATAATGACAGATTTGTGGCACACACTGTAATCCCAGTACTGGGGACTGGAGGCAGGAGGATCCCTAGCCCAGTGAGCCTAGCCTGATTGGTAAACTTCAGGCTGCTTCCAAGGGGTTGGATAGCATGTGTCAGGATGACCCCTTCTGCCTCTGTCTTTCAAATGCCACCATACAAGGATGTGTCTGTGCACTCCAACTCTCGGCGTGTGCACACACAGAGAGAATCGTTTCAACTGTTTTCTCGTGTAAGCTCAGCAGGGCTAATTATATCTAGGGCATCTTGCAGTTGTGACTACCCCAGATTGCTGGGCTTTTTTATGGCCTCGGGCAGAAGCCGTAGTGATTAGGCAATAACTCCCACGCTCCCTGCCCCAGGCCTGCCAACTTCTGTTCCACTTTCTGTTTCTAGTTCTGCCTATTCAGGGAATATGACATGAATGGGATTGTGTAATATGTGACTTTTGTGGGGTTCCACCCCCCACTAGTGTTTATTTTGCTTTGAAGCAGGATCTTAACCCAGGCTAGCTTCAGACTTTTTTTTTTTTTTTTTTGAGACAGGGTTTCTCTGTGTAGTCCTGACTGTCCTGGAACTCACTCTGTAGACCAGGCTGGCCTCGAACTCAGAAATCCGCCTGCCTCTGCCTCCCAAGTGCTGGGATTAAAGGCGTGCGCCACCACTGCCCGGCTAGCTTCAGACTTTCAATCCTCCTGTCTCAGCTTCCCAAAGCAGGATGATTTCAAGGTTCATCCCTGTCCTAACAGGGCTTCTTCCCCTTTTGTGGCTGATAACGCTCTCCTGTGGGTAGACCAGTTATCTGTCCATCTGATGGAGTGAGTGTGGGCTGTGTTGCAAGCAGGGAAGCTGGGAATATCTATGCATGGTTTTATCTGGGTGCCTGCCACCTCTTGTTGATGGCAGTGTCCACGGGTGGGATGTCACATCACAGAGTAGCAGAGGGTGATCCCAATCTGCCGTAAAATGGCAGCACCTTAGTGTATTCCAGCTTCCAATGCTGGGGGGGGGCACCCATATTGTTGATACTTCTGCCTTCTTTTCAGAACTGTAAATCAAAAACATCTTGGCTTCAGGAGTTGGGTCCCAGCTTAGTGATTTAGTCCTTATTGCCCTTGGCAGGTTCCTTTCCATCTCTCTTCCAGATCGAGGAAGGACCAAAGATGAGACTCCCAGTCTCAGCTTGGTGGTGCAGCCACCTGCCTGCCCCACTCCTCTTCCTGAGACAGGATCTCACGTTGCCCAGACTGGTCTTGAACTTCCTAGATTTCCCTATGTAGCTGAGAATGACCTAGATTCTCTGGTTCTTCTGCATCTGCCCCCTGAGTCCTGGGGTAGAAGGCCAGCCCTATTACACTTGGTTTTATGCAGTGCCAGGGATAGAATCCAGGGCCTTGTGTGTGCTAGACGAGTGATCACCAGCTTGGCCCTGGAGTGTGCAGCCTTGGTCTCATCAGTACACATGTTGCACTGGAGTTAGCCAGACAATAGCAGCTGGCCCTGCTGAAGAAAGGCCCCACTCTTCATTGTGCAAAGCCAGCCCTAAGTAGCCTTGGTTGGCCTGAAATTTTCTATGTAGACCAGGCTGGAGTTGAACACTCATCGATTCCCGCTACCTCGCCTCCTGAGTGCTGGGATTGTCCATCACACTCTGCTCAAACCTGGTTTTGTTTCCTGACCAATCAGGTTTGGTGGCAGTTCTGTTTCCTGGAACTCACTCAGGTACAGGTGAGAGCTTTCAGGATTCTCAGAAAGAGTCCTGCTTTCCTGATGCACATGCCTGTCATCCCAGCACTTCGGGGATAAAGATAGGAGGAGGGTCAGGAGTTCAAGACCAGCCTCAGTTGTATAGTGAGAGTTGGCTCAGCAGTTGAGAGCACTGGCTGCTCTTTCAGAGGTTCTGAGTTCAATTTTCAGGAACTACATGGTGGCTCACAACCATCTGTAATGGGATCCAGTGTCCTCTTTTGGCACCCAGGTGATAGAGCACTCATACATAAATCTTTCGGAAAAGAGAAGATTGTGAGTGAGATGTTCCTGTATGTTTTACCCCCAAACCTGTTCAATGTGCGCACCTGTCAGTCTGTCTAAACTGAAGATTTAGACCCTAGACATGGCCTGTACCATGACCGCCTTGTCCAGCACCTTCCTGACCTCACGGGTTGTCAGGGTTGTCCCACCCATCTCACCACACCCACCCAGGTCATCATTGAAGCAATGGCCAGGTATTTGGTACCTCCATCAGGAAGCAGTGGCCTTAATTATCATCCACCTGCAGCCCTGCTCAGCCCTGTAGGGGACTGTCTAATCCAGCCTGTATAGAAGCAGAGGACAAACTAACCTAAGGAAGTTTTTCCAACCTTTTCTACACGGTCTTACTTTTCTGAGGCATGTGAAGTGATCCACGGCTTGGAGGAGGGTGTTTAACTCCGCCCATGCTTTCTCTCTCCAGTATCTAGAATCAGTGAGGCCGCTGATGAAGGAAGGAGACTTCCAGCGCATGACAGCGTTGGCCCAGGATTTTGCTGTCAACCTCGGACCCAAATTGCAGTGGTATTTGAAGCTAAAATCCTGGTGGGCCACAAATTATGTAAGTAATTCTGCAGGTAGATCTTTTCTCAGTGAGGTGTTTCAGTATGAAAGTTCCCCATTTAAGTACCAGGGTCACAGAGTTCTAGCTGTGGTTTGGTTCCCAGCACCCACAAGGTGGCTCACAGCCATCTATAGTTCCAAAGTGCAGGGGATCCAACATCTTTTTCTGACTTCCACCAAGCACACACATGGTGCACATACCTATATGGAGGCAAAACACACACATGAAAAAAAATCTTAGTGCATACCTTCAGTCCCAGCACTTGGAAAGGCAGAGGCAGGTGGATCTCTGAGTTCAAGACCAGTCTAGTTTACAGCTCCAGGACAGCCAGGGATACACAGAGAAACCCTGACCCCTGACCCTCCAAAAAAGAAAAATTATTTTAAAAACACAAATAATAAATAGACAAAAATGAACAGAAATATAGACAAAAAGAAATAGAAAGAAGGATCCAGCAGAACCAGCAGATGGTGCCAGACCCAGGCCCTATGACTGGGAGGGCAGGAAGCCACAGGACCCTCAGCCATCAGGTTCTGGGTCTAATCCTAGGCAGCTGGCCTGCTGTGCATTTAGACTCTCATGCAAACCTTTCCTCAGGTGTGTGGCCCAGCAAAGTGCTCAAATCAGCATGGGTTGTAAATCAGCAGCTTCTGGGTAGCTAGGGCAGCTTGCTGGGCACCATTACTACAGTTACTCTGGAGAATCGAGACAACACATCCTGGCCTCAGGCTTAGTGCTGTGGCTGAGATGTACCCAGGCATCAGGAAGAGGAAGATGGATCTCTGGGGAGATCTGTGGTTTTTGTTTTTTGTTTTTCTGCAGTGCAGGGTATGAGACCCAAGGCCTGGTGAATATCAGGCAACCGTTCAGCACAGCACCCACTTTCAGCCAGGACACTTTGGCAGTTACAGGTTTTTGGAGACAGACTGATGTGACCCCCAGGGTAGCCTCAAATTTGCTATGTAGCAGTCTGGAACTTGCTATGACCTTGAACTCCTGATCCCCCTGCCCGTGTGTGCCCGTGTGTGCCCATGTGTGCCCGTGTGTGCACTGCTGAATAGCTCTGTGTCCCATTTTATGCATTCTAACAGTTGAGCTAAAACCCAGCCCCGACTTGTGCAGTATGAAATGATGGGTGGTCTATTATCTAGCCAGGTCTCCCTTCTCCCTTTAATACTCTTTTTGTTTGTTTGTTTGTTTGTTTGTTTGTTTGTTTGTTTTTCGAGACAGGGTTTCTCTGTGTAGCCCTGGCTGTCCTGGAACTCATTCTGTAGACCAGGCTGGCCTCGAACTCAGAAATCCACCTGCCTCTGCCTCCCAAGTGCTAGGATTAAAGGTGTGCGCCACCACCGCCGGCACCAGTATGTCTCTTAACTCCTGTGGCCTGTCTGCTTAAGACAGCTTTGCTTTGGACCCTGTCATATGCCGGAACCTTCCGGAAAGTTTTGTATACATCTGGGCATGGCTGCTCAGCACTCTGACTTGTGTTTGTACCGTAGGTGAGTGACTGGTGGGAGGAATACATCTACCTGCGAGGCCGAGGGCCACTCATGGTCAACAGCAACTACTACGCCATGGTGAGTTGCTCTTCCATTCCCACTGCAGCCAAGACGCCTTTGTTCTGCCAGGTGGCCCCATGGCTGCTGGGAAAGCTCGAAATGGACTCCTCCTCTTGCTTCTGCTTCTGTTGTCCAAGTCTTCATGGTGCTGTGAAGAGCCCACCTGGGGCCCATGCGTTAGACCCTCCTGTGTCTAAGGGGTCCCTGGCCCCACCCAACAGTACAAATATCTTTGCATTGCAAAACATGTTCACGGCAAACAGCACTTGCTAAATAAATGCAGGCTGGCCTTGAACCTGTGGTGGAACAGATGGAAGCTGGCGTTGCAATAACAAAATGAGAGCTTGTGGTGGCTCATGCCTGCCAGGCATGAGGGAGGTGCAGACAGGAGGATCCTTGGCTACATATGTAGTTCAAGGTCCACCTAAGTTATATGAGATACTCTCTCAAAAAAGTAAGTTTGGGGCTAGAAGGATGGTTTAGCGGTTTAAGAGAACTTGCTGCTCTTCCAGAGGACCCGAGTTCGGTTCCCAGCACACATGTCAGGTGGTTCAGAACCATCTGTAACTCCAGTTGCAGGAGGCTGGATTCCTCTTTTGGCCTCTCTGGGTACATGCACACATGTGTACACTTAACCCCACACAATCACATGCATACACATAAAGAAAAAACCTCCAATCTGCCAGAAAAACAAATAGACCTAAAGCAGTAATAAAACTGTCCAAAGTTGTAAAGTCAGGCATAATGACACACATCTGTAATCCTAGCACTCAGGAACCTGGGGTAGGAGGATCACCTAAAAGCTACATAACCTGGTCTCAAAAAAATAACAAAAACCAAAAGCCCACCTAAAACAAATACAAAGGCAGTTGTAACTGAGCAGAGCTGTCAGGGAGGGCCCCCCAGCCCTCCCAACCCTCCCCAGCCTCCCCCCACAGTGTTTACAGACCACCGTGTCATCCCGATGAGCCCTCTCTGCTGTCTCGTCCTCACAGGAGATGCTCTACATCACCCCCACCCATATTCAGGCGGCGAGAGCTGGGAACACCATCCACGCCATACTGCTGTATCGTCGCATGGTTGACCGTGAGGAACTCAAACCGGTATGTAAACTTGCCTTTTAAAAAAAAATCTCTTGGGCCGGGCAGTGGTGTTGCAGGCCTTTAATCCCAGCACTTGAGAGGCAGAGGCAGGCGGTTTTCTGAGTTCGAGACCAGCCTGGTCTACAGAGTGAGTTCCAGGACAGCCAGGGCTACACAGAGAAACCCTGTCTCGAAAAACCAAAAATAAATAAATAAATAAATAAATAATCAATCTTTTGGGGGCTGGAGAGATGGCACAGTGGTTAAGAGCACTGACTGCTCTTCCAGAGGTCCTGAGATCAATTCCCAGCAACCACATGGTGGCTCACAACCATCTGTAATGGGATCCGATACCCTCTTCTGGTATGTCTAAAGACAGCTACAGTGTACTCATATACATAAATCTTTTAAAAAATTTTTTCTTGGGAGACTAGAGAGACGGCTCAGTTGATAAAGTGCTCGCTTTGAGACTTGTGTTTAGACATGACCCAGTGGTGCCCAGCCACATGACCAGTGCACGGTTGTAACCCTAGCACTGGGGAGCCAGAGTCAGACAAAGCTGGGGCTCCTAACAGGCCTACTCAGTGAGGTCCAGGTACAGTTAGGGACTTTGTGAGGCCTGAGTCCATGGGTTCATGGATTCTGGGGATCATGATGGTAAGAGAGAACCAGCTCCTACAAACTGTCCTCTGACCTCCACATGGATTGATATACTGGTGAACTCCTCAGGAGAACTGCTTCTTCATAACCTTGGGTGGCTTAGGTGTTTATCTGGAAGGAACTTCAGTACCCTGGCACAGCTCAGCGAGTCCCCCAGTTGCTACCCCAGGGGACGCTGAATGATGTAGTCAGACTGGGCAGTGAGCACAGGAAACAGGCCGAATTTTAATCAGCTCATTGCAAAGCTTTCCTGTGGGAGTTTTGCCTGTTGGTTTAAAATACATTTTTATTACAGATTCGTCTTCTGGGATCCACAATTCCACTCTGCTCTGCCCAGTGGGAGAGACTCTTCAATACTTCCCGCATCCCTGGGGAGGAGACAGGTGGGTAGTGCTCACCAGGGTCTCCCCTGGGACCCAGCATTTGCCATTCTGCTGCTCAGAACCGGGAATTGTTGGGGAACATGAGGGGAAAATGGTCTATGGGGTCTGTCCCAAGAGTGTCTGTTTCTGAATGTTTCTCCTCTTGGAATCCCTTTGTCTTTTGTCATTGGTAGTGGTTTGGGAACAGAATCTCATGTGTTCTAGACTGACCTAAAACAATGCACCCCTGAGGATGGCCCTCTTGCCTCCCACTGGGATTATAGGCGTGTGTCATCATGCCCAGAGTATTTGTTGCTTCGATTGGAACTCTTGGCTTCATATATATTAGACAACCGAACCCCAGCTCTGGCCTGAATTTACTTTGTCCACTAGGCCTGGACAATGGGCCGGTTTCCAGATTTTAGTATTTCTTCAGTTGAGAGTTTCTTTTATTGGGCATTTCCCCCAGACCTCCTGGAATTCCGACAAGACTCCTTGGGCATCTTACTCTGGCCCACATGCAGGGTTTGCTGTAAAATACCCTTGAGAACCAACACGCCCGAGGAGCTGGATTGTGGCCCAGCCGCTTGCTGTTGGCAGCCTAGCCTGGGCTGGGCGATCTTCTAATCTGCTTCTATCTAGGACATCCTTGGAAAAGACAGGGAGGGAGAATGGATGCCAGGTGGTGCCATGCAGTCTTGCTGAGGTCACTTTTAAACATGGTGACAAATACCTGAGCAAAACTACTTAGGGAGGAAAGATTTATTCCACTTCCTGGAGCCAGAGCCTGTAGTCCACTGTTTCTGGCCTATAGAAGGGCAAAGCATCATGGGTACAGGGGCATGTGAGGGAACAGAGTTACCTCTGACAGGCAGGACACAGCTCTAGAACAGGAACTAGAGTCAAGAAGGGTTGGCGAAGTGGCTCAGCACCTGCATGTGCCTGTCTGCAAGCCTGGTGCTTGTGCTTGATCCTAGGAACCCCTGTGGTAGGAGAAAACAGACTCCCACAAGCTGTCCTCTGCCATCTACACATGTACAGGACATGCTTGTCCTCACACATGTCTGAGCACTCACACAAGATAAATAAATAGAATTTTACTGAGGGAACTGGTTCTCTTCTTCCACCGTGTGGATCCAGGCGAGGCACAAGTCCCTTTCCCAGCTGAGCCGTCTCGCTGGCTCCATCATGGTCTGTAATAGTAGTGATCATAAATATTAAAATCTGGGTAACGCTGGGTATGGTGGCACATGCCTTTAATCCTAGTATTCAGGAGGCTGAGATAGGTAGATTTCTGTGAGTGTGAGCCCAGTCTGGTCTATACTATGTCTACATAGTGAGTTACAGGCCAGCTAAAGCTTCTTAATGAAACCCTGTTGAAAGACAACAAATTATAATTTATGGAAATGCTGTGTGCTCGGTGAGGTCATACAATACTGAGATCCCATTCAATACTACATGTGCCAACCTTGTTTCATAGATAGGAAACTGAGGCTTAGATTAGAAGGGCTGGGTAATCCAAAGGGAGCAGGTGACTCAGCATGGAGTCAAGGACCACGAAACTCTGTTAGAACTCAGGGGATGGAGGCAGGAGGATCAGGAGTTCAAGGTCATCCTTGGCTACACAGGGAGTTTAAGCCCAGCCTGGGCTACATGAGATCCTCACAAAGCACAGTGTGATCTGATGCTCCCAAGGCTTTCTGACGTCTTGTCACTCCTTCGTGTCTTCACCACTGCAGACACCATCCAACACATCAAGGACAGCCGGCACATTGTCGTGTACCACAGAGGCCGCTACTTCAAGGTCTGGCTCTACCATGATGGGAGACTGCTGAGGCCCCGAGAGCTGGAGCAGCAGATACAGCAGATCCTGGATGACCCCTCAGAGCCGCAGCCCGGGGAGGCCAAGCTGGCTGCCCTCACTGCCGCAGACAGGTGCGTGCGAGGCCTTGCACACCCTTCCTAGTGCTCTGCGGAGCTCTTCCTCACAGGGTAGTCCCAGAGCAGCCAGAGACCATTGTTCAGTGTTGCTTTACGGTGTCAGACTGCTCCTGGATGGTGGATCACAAGGGCAGCTGAATTCAGTACAGGACAGCGGGTGTATGTGGAACAGCACATGAGGGCACACATAAACATGAGGTGTGGTAATTTTCATCGGGCTATGGACATATTTGTTAATGGCTCAACTTCCTGTGTGTTTGAGGGCCTCAAACCAATACCTTGATCTTGGGGTCCTCCCTTCCCCCACCTCCTGTAAGCTTGGATTAAAGTCCTGTACCACCACATCCAGCTAACTTTCTTTTTTTCCTGAGGTAAGTGCTCCACCACTCAGCTTGGCCCCAGCCAGGGAGACTTGCTTTGTATGTGTGAGCATAGTGTATGTGCCTGTATGTCAATGCTGGGTGTCTCCATCTGTACCTCTCCATCTTATATTATGAAGACAAGGTCGCTCCCAGAACCTGGAGCTCACTGATTGGCTAGTCTGCCAGACCTCGGAGCTCTAGGGATCTTCTTGTACCTGCCATCTCAGTACTAGGATAATAGGTCAATGGCACAGATCCTCACGCTTGTGCTTTACCCTCCGCTCCAGCTCCCCCCACACCCCAACACACACCAGGCAAACTTATCTTTAAGGCCAGCTCCATTGTGGGATTGGATTGTGGGAGAGAGGAACTGTCTTGTGCCCTGCTTTGAACAGAGTAAGAAGCAGGTGGAATGAGATGGTGAAGAGGGGATTTTGCTCTCTGGGGCCAAAAGTATACCAGTGTTTCACAAGACCATCTTTCACAGAGCCCCTGAGCTGCGGTGAAGCTGCTGCTGGTGCCAAAGTCAAGGGGCAAACACTTTAATAAAGAATTGCTCCAGGCACTCAGGAGACAACAAGGCTGTCTGTTGTGTGGAGCATGGGACCGAGGAGGAAAACCAGAAAGTGAAGAGGGCCGCAGTCCATGCCTTATCTCCTGCCTTGAGGGCTGGGGTGCACTAGGGACCTGTGACATTTGTGTTGACATAAAAACTTGCGAGAGAGGTGGGCAATGGAGGGTGGGCAGCACAGAGGGCCTGGAGGCTGAGGACTGTGTGGGGGACCCAGGAGCAATGGGAGGAAGCTATTGCAAGCCAGCTTTGAAGGGAGACCAATGTCAGCAGCGTGGTGGGCACAGGGTGGTCATTGTGGGAGTATCATGTGATCAGTCTTGGTCTGGGTTCAGGGGCCAGATGGTATCGCTCCTTCCCTGCCCCAAAGTAGTTGTGGCTTGATCTCTGTGCCTCAGGTTTCCTCAACTGAAAGATGGGTCTATGGTACTGAAGACATCAGTGGACTCATGCCTGAGGGAGTCTCAGGTCAGAGCCTGGCTTCAGGGCCAGGTCCTTCAGCATTTGTGATAGCTTCTGCAGAGGGATGTCTGGGGCAGAGAAGGGTGCTTCTCCCTGACTGCTGCAGAGACAGGCTGGATTTTATTCTTAGCAGTGTGTGTGTGTCTGTGTCTGTATGTGTCCGTGTGAACGTGTTGTTCCTCAGGCACTAGCCGTCCACATTGAGTTTGGAGACAGGGTCCCTCACTAGCCTGGAGCATTCCCATTAGGTGACCTGGATGGCTAACAAGCCCTGAGGATCCTGAGTTTGTCTCCCAGGCCTGAAATTAGGAGCACCAATCCCCACACCTGGCTCCTTTACATGGGCTTCTTTACGTGGTTATGAAATTCAAGTTCTCATGCTGACAGGCAAGCACTATTGCCTACTGAGACATCTCCCCATCATGGGCAACTGATTTTAGACATGTTTACTCCCTGCTACAGAGTGCCCTGGGCAAAGTGTCGGCAGACCTACTTTGCACGAGGGAAAAATAAGCAATCCCTGGATGCGGTAGAAAAGGCAGCATTCTTTGTGACATTGGACGAATCGGAACAGGGATACAGAAAGGAGGACCCTGAGGCATCTATTGACAGCTACGCCAAATCTCTGCTGCATGGTCGATGTTTTGACAGGTAACTCCCTTTTTTAATCTCCAAGGTTGATGGGAGATTGTGGGAGACATTCCTGGGTGTGTTTGGGAGCAGCCTCCCCAAATCTGACTCCTTGCTGAGGGGTTGTACTAGGAAGGAATGAGCATCCAAACGTAACACTCTGCTTTCTTCCCTCCACACAAACTCACAGGCACAGCCTAGGCCAGTTGGCTTCACGATCCCTTCCTTTTGCTCACCCCACCGCCCTTCTTAACTATGGGCTACCTGGCTCCCAGCAGAAGGTGGCACATACGACAGAGCGGGGTCAGTCCTAGGACCCATCATTGGCCTTGGCTGTGGTGGTGCAGCTGCTGTGGCCCTGCTCTCCTGGATCCCCTTTCTGTGGGTGTAAAGTGAGGAGGTGCCTCACAGGCATGGCAGGAGAGGGCATGGGCCCGGCCTCTGGGTTACAGTAGTCTGCGTTCCTCTAGTCCCAGGGCTCACACACATTGCTGTATTATATCTCTGATACAAGAAAATATGAATGACTCTGTGTTCTGTGTGTCCCTTTTAGTTACCTTCCTGGGGTGGAGAAACCTGGAGAACTGTCAGGGATGGGGAGAAGCCATTGGTCTCTGCAGAAAGAAACACTCATGTCGCTTTTGGGTTCCCGTGTCGATGTAACCCCGGAAGCCCATGATCATGTTGTCTCCCTATAGGTGGTTTGACAAGTCCATCACCTTCGTTGTCTTCAAAAACAGCAAGATAGGTATAAACGCAGAGCACTCCTGGGCGGACGCGCCCATCGTGGGCCATCTGTGGGAGGTGAGCCACACCACTGTTAACCTGTCTGAATGTGGAAGGCACTTTGGGAAACCCAACCCAGGCCTACCTGAACTCTGAAGTATTTGTCTAATCCTCTGTATCCATTACATTTCCCTCTCCAGGGTCAAATACCTAGGAGAGATTTCCTTCAGTTTAGGCTTTGAGAGGGCATGGCCCACTGTGGGGACTACTTGCTCACTTCTCAGTGCACCTAGGAGCAGAGGCCAGACAGGAAGCAGGGCCCTGGCTGTAAACCTCAAGGTCTGCTCCCAGTAACTCACTCCTCCAAGAGTCTGTAACATCCAAGATAGCACCACCAGGGCTGGAGAGATGGCTCAGCGGTTAAGAGCACTGACTGCTCTTCCAAAGGTCCTGAGTTCAGTTCTTAGCAACCACATGGTGGCTCACAACCATCTGTAATGGGATCTCGTGCCCTCTTCTGGTGTGTCTGAAGACAGGGACAAGTGTACTCATATATATAAAATAAATCTTAAAAAAAAAAAAAAGCACCACTACCTGGGGACCAAGTGTTAAAATGTGTATGCCCATAACCTGGGCAGTAGTGGCACAGGTCGTGGCTCACACCTTTAATCGAAGCACTCAGGAGGCAGAGGCAAGTGGATCTCTGTGAGTTCAAGGCCAGCCTGATTTACAGAGCAAGTTCCAGGATAGCTAGGACAACACAGAGACACCCTGTCTTGAAAACCAAAAATAAACGAACTAAAAAGAGCTGGTAGGAGGCTGCTAACATTTAAACCACAGCACCAAGTTTCCCATCGGTGTTGGTACCACTCAGGAAGTTAAAGACATTGAGTCTTGGTTTCCTGTAACTTGTGTTCCTTGAGTACTGGCAGATGTGGTATTTATTTATGCAACTGAAGTCACACGGTGGCTCTCAGCTCACATGGCTTCCTTAGTTCTGAAGTGATTAGCTTACTGCCAGACTTCCTGGTATTCCCACTACTCACCCTAGTTTGAGGGCAAATAGAGAAAAAAAAATTAAAATCTGAATGTGTGAGTGCGAGGTGCCCAGGATCGAACCCAGGGCCTCACATGTGCCATTCAGGTGCTCCACGCCAAGGCTATATAAACTCAGCCATTATTTTGGAGACAAGGTCTCACTAAATTAAACATGCTAGACTTGAACTCACTCTGTTGGCCAGACTGGCCTCAGACCTGGAATCCTCCTGCCTCAATGTGTTGAGTATCAGAGATTACAGGTATGTACCACCAGGTCTGGGTTAGAATCTTGGCTTATAAAATGGCAGTGTCCTGGAGCCAGAGAGATGCTAGTGGGGCAAAGCCTTGCCATTTAAGTCCCATGATCTGAGTTCAACCCCTGACACCCACATAAAGTTAGAGGGGGAACACCCCATGCCTACACCCACACACATCACAACAGTTAAATCAAAACATTTAAGGCGATGTATCTTATTGAAAATATTTCAGTTACTAAAATGATCAGGTTACTTAAAGACCACCAGATCTCTGTCCCCCTTTCTCCTAACCCAACTTTCAAAAACACAAAGTTGGGTGTGGTGACACATGACTGTCACCCTAGTACTTTAAGGCAGGAGGATCAGGAACTTGAAGCCAGCTTGGGCTACAAAACCAAACCCTTTCAAAACAGAGAGAGGCAAAGAGAAAGAAAGGGAGAACATACTCGGGGCCAGACTGCAAACCTGGTGTCTTTGTGGACTTCTCAGTCAAATAGCTGTATTCCAGAAATTTGAAATTTATTAAATATTGGTGTAACTCTCAACAAAGTTTAAATGTTTGGAGGATTTTGGATTTCAGGCTAGGGATGCTCTCCTCTCTCTTCCTTCCTCTCTCCAGTGGGTCTTACCATTTGGCCCACACCAAACTCCAGTTCATGGCAATGCTCTTGCTTCAGCCTCCAGAGTGCTGTTGGTTTAGGGTCATGCTCTGCCACACCAGCTAAGACTTTGCATCTTGGTTTCTCCTTGCTGTGCTGTGCCAGTGATTTTTTTCCCTGTGGTACAAAATCAACTGCAGAGTGCAGATTGTATCTGCTTGCTTGTGTGCAAGCTCTGCCCTCTTTGGGGGGTGGGGTGGGGAGATGTCTCCTTCAGGTCTCAGCTGACTCCACTCCTTCCCTCATTTCTCCAAAGCATACCCCCTCCCATGAGGTTAGCAGCACCTTGACTCACCTTCTCTCATCCCTCCAGTGCTCTGACCTCTGCTTGAGATCTTGGCAAGATCCTACCTGCTGCTGCTTCATCCAGGGAAGGTTTCCTACATGAGAAAGCCTGGAAAAGAAGAACCAGGCAGTCTGGGTATAAGACAACAGTGGGTTCAGCTGAAACACCAATTCCAATGGCAAAGTGCAAGGGCTTATTATTCCTGCCAGACCCTGAACTGATGCCAGCAGCAGTGTAGACTCTCAGCCCAGATGCACAGATACCTCACCTCCATTAGCCCCCTGACCCTGCCGCTCATACACAGATCTCTGGGAAGCTCTGCAAAGCCCAACAGTATAGGCCCATCAGAATATCCCAGGGACTTTTCAGATAACACATGCACAGTTGCCGTTGGGTAACGGGAGTCTCAGGGGGCCAGGCAACTTGCAGCATACACAGCACAGTTCTCAAGTTCTTAAGAGGACACATAGTGGCACATGCCCAAAATTCCAGCACTTGAGAGGCTGAGATAGGAAGATTCCTGAAAAGCTTGAGGACAATCAGGGCCACATAATAAAAAAAAACAAAACAAAAAGTTGAAAAGAGAGATGAAGAAAGAGAGATGAACATTAAGGTTTATTGTGTTTATATATACACTGTGCACATGAATGCAGTACATGCAGCAACCAAAAGGGGGCGGTAGATCCCTTGGAGCTGGAGCTGGAGGCGGTTGTAAGCTGGGACCCAAGCCCCAAACTTCTGCTAGAGCAGCAGGCACTTTTAACTGCTGCGTTGGCTCTCCAGCCCTCAGGCTAATATTTTAAAGTAACTTATCAAGATAAGGCTAAGGAGACACAGCCTGAGGCCAAGCCACAAGTATTTAGTTTCCTGATGGGATGAGGAGGGCTCTTGAGTGGAGCCCAGGTGTCCAGGCGAGTGCTGGGGACCTGGCTCTCGTCTTGGAAGCACAGTACCACAGTGCCACTGGGTTGATTCTGAGATGTGAAACCTGGTGGAGACAAACACAGCTTAGGTAGCATCCTTCATGCTATGGGTGCAGTGACCTGAGAACTCTGGATGTACCCTCAGCCCTAATTCAAGGTTCCCTTGATTACCTTCTCTAGACAGATTAGTCTGCTGGAGCAGCTCTGGCTCAGGGCTTCTCTCTTATTACAAAGGACACAGAAGGCTGTGGCAGGTGGGCTCCATGGACACAGAGGTTCAGAGCCACAGTTTTACCCTCCCAGGGCCTGGTTTCTAGAAACCATACATCAGTTACCTCTCTGGGAGCTTCCTACTCTCTGCCCTCTGGTGTGTGTGTGTGTGTGTAACTGAATTTGCTCACCCACCACCTAGCTGGTGTGCACTGGGGAAGGTGCATGGAGTGCGGAGACCCTGCCCTTACTCCCAGGAGTGTTCTGTGCTGAGCATGGCAGGAGACACTGTGCTCTCTCACGGTTTCTATTCAGTCTCTGCTTCTTTTTCTCAGTATGTCATGGCCACCGACGTCTTCCAGCTGGGCTACTCAGAGGATGGACATTGTAAAGGAGACACCAACCCTAGCATCCCTAAACCCACCAGGCTACAGTGGGACATCCCAGGAGAGGTAAGTCTGGTGCTCCAGAGACCATCACTCACCTGGGTGGCAAGCTTGTTCCTGAGCTCTGTTGACAAGCAAGCTCTCTACCAAACAGACAGAAAGCTGTTTGCCCAGAGTTGGGGAAGAGGCCTGGGCTGTCAAGAGAAATGAGGCTTCAATTTGCAGCTCTCTGTTGAGGTTTCAGCTGAAAAGTAGCTGGGCTTCTGTGAATTCTCTGCAAATAAGGATAAAAACTTAAATCATAGTCAGGCGAGGTGGTACACTCCTATAATCCCAGCACTCAGGAGGCAAAAGCAGCCAGATCTCTGAGTTCAAGGCCAGCCTGGTCTACAAAGCTAGTTCCAGGACAATGAGGGCTACACAGAAAAACCTTGTCTTAGATTTTGGGGCTGTCTAAAGATGGCCCATTTCTGTCATTCCCAACCCCTGTGGCTGAGGCTGGAGAATTGCTGTGACCTTGTCTTAAAAACCAACAAGAGAAGATTCTGAGATGCAGACCACTCAAGTAGGAGCCCTGGGGAGAAGGGGTGTTAAGGTTGAAACCATCACTCTAGCCTATCTGACCCAAGTGGGAGTTTCTGGGGCCTGAGAAGTACTTTCTTGTGTGGTAAAGTCCAGTGCTCTGAGGTCCCAGGGCAGTGTGGAATCCATAGAGAAACAATATCTTTGTGGAGAGCCTGACCTTGGGGTCGGGGCTGACTGAGCCACCAGGATTCACTGGCTCTCTTCAACACACCTGTAATAGAGCCATGCTGGGTTCATGACAGACATTTGAGGAAGATGCAGGTATTTCCTGGATACACACAGCCTGCCTGCTCAGCATCCCCACCACAGTGGTCTGTCTGTCAGGCCTTCTGGCACATCCCAGGTTTACACAGGGTTGCCTGGATGGGATCAGTTGTGTAGTGTCACGTGACTACTGCCACAGAATCAGGCAGCAGTGTCATTGCTGTAAACTCCTGTGGCTTCCCCCTGCTCATCCAGCTCCTTCCTGACCCCTGGCAACCAGTGATCCCTGTGTTTGTCCTTTAAAAAATAGTATTCTTGCCAGACAGTGGTGGCACACGCCTTTAATCCCAGCACTTGGGAGGCAGAGGCAGGCAGATTTCTGAGTTCAAGGCCAGCCTGGTCTACAGAGTGAGTTCTAGGACAGCCAGAACTATACAGAGAAACCCTGTCTCGAAAAACCAAAAAAAAAAAAAAGAAGAAGAAGTATTCTTTTATTTGTGCATCTAGAATTTAACACATGTGTTTTGATTATACCTATTATCCCTTTCCTCCTCCCTCCAACTCCTCTAGGGCCCTCTCTGAAGCATCTCCCTCCCAACTACATGATCTGTTTGTTTCAAGACAGGGTTTCTTTGTGTAGCATCAGCTGTCCTGGAATTTACTCTGTAGACCAGGCTGATCTCACACTCACAGAAATCCATCTGCCTCAGCTTGGATGATGGCTTCCCCATAGCGCCATACATGGTACCCTCCCACCTACCTAGTTTAGTATCTTCCAAGGTGACAAAGCCACTTATGGTTGGAGCTTTGAGAAATGTGAGGGCGGTATGTCTATGGCATTTGTCCCCTAAGGGTTCCCCCACTGCTCCTGGAGTGAGGTAGAGGGACTGTGCTGTGGTCCTCCAGGTAGCCTTTGTAGAAAATCCCGGAGACTGTGAAGTGCACACTTGCAGACTTTGTTCTGCCCCGCTCCCTTCTGCTGCTTCCCCACTAAGCGGAGCTACCTTCTTCCCCTGCAGTGCCAGGAGGTCATAGAGACATCCCTGAGCAGTGCCAGTCTTTTGGCAAATGATGTGGACCTGCATTCCTTCCCATTTGACAACTTTGGCAAAGGCTTGATCAAGAAGTGCCGGACGAGTCCCGACGCCTTCATCCAGCTGGCGCTGCAGCTCGCACATTACAAGGTCAGAAGGGATCTGGGCTCACCTCGGGCACTTTGGAGCCCCACACAGACATCTGGACTATTTCCCTAGTGGGCAGAGGCAATATAAAGCCCAGTATGGTGGGCATCTGACACCAAACACCAGCCCTGTGGGTCCCTAAGGTACTAAGGTGTGAAATGTCACACTGCAGAGCAGAGCACCCTTGGTTTTGTGACATCCCTCTCAGGCTTCTATCACAGACAAGCAAGTTTAGGACATAAGCAGGTGAACAATTAAACTGTGTAATCGGGGCTGGAGAGATGGCTTGGCGGTTAAGGCCACTTGCTGCCTCTGCAGAGGACCTCATTCAGGTCTCAGCACCCTCACATGGTGGCTTACAGCAGTCCCAGGGGATCTGATGCCTTCCGTGAACTCCTACACTAACATAGTTACATATATACACAGAGGCAAACACACACATAAAATGTAAAAATGTAAATCTCGTAAAACAGGCCCATAATAAGCTCTGAGTCCTACAGTATTATCAGGAAATACTTAGAACAAATTGTTTAATGTTTCTGACCTTTGACATCCCTTTGCTTAAAGCAGAAGCTGTGAGCTCTTCATTGTTCTCTGCTGAATCAGATTTCTGTATCTACCCAGGACTGTGTGGCATTTCTGTCTTTTTTTTCTCTGAGCACTGCTAAAGGGTGGCAGAAGCAGTCTGCCTGTGTGAGAATGTGGAAGGGACTTTGGTTCTTGGGAGGGGACAGCCTACCCGAGACAGAGGCATTCAGTTGCTGGCCATGCAGAAGTCATTGTAGCACTGGGTCTATATGTACTGCACAGTGGGAAGGTGGACACCAGCTCCCCTGGGCTGTTAGTGTCCCTCCCACTGTCCTCTGTGATATCCCAAGGGCTCAGCTTCAGGTGCCACCAGCTGTGTCCACCCCAGTTGCCTCCCCAGGAGCTCTCCCCGCCCCACCTTGTCCTCTCTGGCACAGCTCCCAAGGCCTCTGTAATCACCCCTAACCTCAGCTTCCTCTGCTCTCTCCCTAGTCACAGTCACAGCCTCCTGAGCACTCCTCCACTGTTCTGTTTTCCCAGCCTTAGCCACACTCTCCTCCAGCCCTTTACCTCTCCCTGAAGCTCATCACCAGCTTCTCTCCTGCTTCCAGAGAGGCAGCCCTACCTGCAGACCTCTTTGCTTCAAGCTAAGGAGCGCTGGCTGCCATAGCCTTCCTCACACCTATGGTACCTCCCATCCTGCCTTCCACAGGTGACCCTTCTGTCCCATCCAGACAGTAGGCTTTTCCTTTGGGGACTCCTGTCTGCATCTGCCAGCTCCTCCTGGCTACTGTCTTGTCCATGACCGTACTGACTGAACTCCTCCTCATTCTGCGGCCCTGCCCTCTTGCCCCTGACCCTCCTGTGCCTCTCACACCTTCTCGTGGCCATGACCTTGCTGTATGCCTTGTCCTTTCTCCTAAGCAAATTCACGTGAGTTGGAGGACTTTCTGGAGGACATTATGGTCTTAGTCATGGCTTGGACCAGAAACCATGTAAAGACAGACTCCAGGGGGCTGAAGAGATGGCTCAGCAGTTAAGAGAGTTGCCTGTACTTCAGAGGATTTGGGCTCCAGCTTCTAACACTCACTTGGCAGCTCCCAGTCATCTGTAACTTGTCCTCAGGGATTCAGTGCCCTCTTCTGGCCTCTGGACACCAGGCTTGTCCTTGTTAGGCAAAACACACACACAGAGTGGGGGAGGCAGAGTGCCACCTCCTCTCAGAACCATTCCAGGTCACTTCTCCCTTAAACTTAGACAGCTACTCCCACCTGTTAGCCCTAAGCTAGTTTTCCTTCCTTCCCAGGACATGGGCAAGTTTTGCCTCACGTATGAGGCCTCCATGACTCGGCTCTTCCGAGAGGGGAGGACAGAGACTGTACGCTCCTGCACTACGGAGTCCTGCAACTTTGTGCTGGCCATGATGGACCCCAAAACAACGGTAAGACCACAGTGGCAGAACACAGCATGGTTACATGCTTTCCTGAAAGTCCCTAGAACAGTGGTTCTCAACCTGTGGGTCGTGACCCATGGGGGGGTCACATATCAGATATCCTGCACATCACATATGTTGTGATTCATAAAGTAGCAAAATTACAGTTATGAAGTAGCAATGAAATAATTGTTATGAGAAACTGTGTTAAAGCACACAGTACTAGGACAGGACTAGGAAGGTTGAGAGTCACTTCCCTAGAAGCTGACCATGAAGCTCTCCAGCCCCTCCAGCCTACCCTCCCTCTACCCCTCCGTTCATTTCCTCCCCCTACTCCTCTACCCCCACCCTGCTTCTGCATCCCCTCCCCCAGCTCCTTATGCCTGTCCCTTTGCAAAGGAACAGAAAGCATTTAAGAGGTTCTGTTGGGACATATACAAAGAGAATATTGTTTGCTGAGTTTTGGGAATGAGATTATATGTATGGAGAACTTTCACATGCGGCTGGACGTGACACAGGAACAGGAAGCAGGACAGCCATCATTGGGGTCCTTGGACTCTGGTCCTGGGGTCTGCAGAGCCTGTTGCACCAGTCTACCAGACAAAGCTGGGACTTGCTGACTCTGCCTCTTAGGAGCCCAGCAGTGGCCTTGTGAAAGTAAACTCAGATGAATCTAATGCATTGCTGGTCCCAGGTGGCACATGGCCACATTCAGCTGTGCCCAGGTCCCCAAGCCCTGAGACACATGCTTACCACCAGCAGACAACAGACTGCATTTTTTTTTACTCTAGAGGAAAACAAATTAAAAAATAAAAAGGCAAGCAGCTACATCTGTCACTAGAACTTTCAGGAGGCTCCTACAAGGCTGGGTCTGTCATAGGAGGGTCAGTGCCTTGACACAACTCCATGTAAAGGGCACATTTCTCAGATGGTGGTGTAATGTCCAGAAGATCCCAAAGCAGCCTGTGTGTTTGTGGTATGGGTGAACACGTGTGTATGTATGTGTGTGCACGATATATGCATGTATGTACATCACACATGTGTGTATATGAGTGTGATGGAGGCATGCTGTTGTCTTCCTCCATTATTCTCCACCTTATATTTTGAGACAGGGTCTGTCACTGAATCTAGAGCTTGCTACTTAGGCTAAACCAGCAGGTCAGCAAGCCCTGAGAAGCCTGATGCTTTTGTGCAGTGAGCATGTCTTCAGTCCCCTGAAGTCTCCCACTTGGGTCATATTGAAGCCCTCACAATACCATTTTAGGAGAGTAGTCAAGGAGGGTTAGCATTCATTCCTGTAACAAAATAAACTTAGGGTCGGAGCTGGGGTAGAGCTCTAGGTTTGACAAGAACTCTAACAGCTTAAAAGGTCCATGTTTGGCTATCTCACTGTATACACAGCACACACACCCACACAGGGTCCCTCTCCATCAACCTCCCCCCTCCCTGGGCAGCCCTTCTGAGGCAAGAATCTGGAAAGGGATAGTGGGCCAGTGGGGCTCTGTAAAATATCTTGGTCACAGCACCCTGCCTTTTGCAGACCACTGAAGAGAAAGTAGCCCGGCGCACAACCTGAACCGTGCAAAGCATGTCCTTGTCCTGTTGACCCTTAGGCAGAGCAGAGGCTCAAGCTGTTCAAGATAGCTTGTGAGAAGCACCAGCACCTGTACCGCCTCGCCATGACGGGCGCCGGCATCGACCGCCATCTCTTCTGCCTCTATGTGGTGTCCAAGTATCTTGCGGTCGACTCACCTTTCCTGAAGGAGGTAAGAGCTAGGACTGTGTTCAGCCTGGCTTTTCTGTGTTGTAGAGACAGGATCTCACTCTTCAGTCTAGACTACCTTAAATAGAAATCCTCCTGCTTCAGCCTCCTGAATGCTGGGATTGTAGGCCTGTTATCAATGTACTGGCTTTTAACAATGACTGCATATAATGAGCTTGAAAAACCCGTGAGAATCTAGAGATGGGTTTATAGAGGCTATCCTAGACCCCACAGACTGTCCTCTGCCTTCCCTGTGAGAGGTGGTTTGGCCAAGGGGTGGGGCTCACGCACTTTAACCTTAGGGGCTTGGGGAAGTAGTCTTCCCCACGAAGGTCTTTCCTTGCCTCCCTGTTAGGGGGTCCCCAGGCAAAGAGGAGGGTGTTCTATATTGCTTTCTGCTGCCGTATAAAACACTCTGACCACTCGCCCCTTCCAGCTCACGGTTCATAACTGTGGAAGACAGGGCATGAACTTAAGCAGGAACAGTCGGAAACTACGGAGGAAGGCTTCCTGCCGGCTTGTGCACAGGCTCACATTTGGTTAACTTTCTTTAAAAGTATATTTTTAATATGTGCTTTGCCTTCATGTATAGGTATGTGTATGGTGTGTGTGTGGCAGTGCCTAGAGGGATGTCTAGGAACTGGAGTTATAGTTCCACCATGTGGGTAATAGCAGTCAAATCTGGGTCCTCTGCAAGAGCAGCAAGTGCTCTTAACCACTGAGCCATCTCTCTAGCCCTGTCCAGCTAGGGGAGACACCTGTCCGGGGAATGGAACCACCTACACTGAGCTGGACCTTCCTGCATCAAGACCATTTCCCACAGACATGTCTGTCTTAATGAGAGTTTCTATTGCTGCGAGCTGGGGGGCGGGAAGTGTTTATTTGGCTCACGTGTCCATATCATATCCATCACTGGAGGAAGTCAGGATAGGAACCCAAGCAGAGCTGGAGCTGGGACCTGATGCAGAGGCCATGGAAAAATGCTGCTTACTGGCCTGCTTCCCCTGGCTCGCTCAGCCTGCTTCCTTATAGACCTCAGGACTACCAGCCCAGGGATGGCACCACCCACAATGGGCTGGGCCTCAGCCCCATTGACTGATAATTGAGAAAATGCCTTACATCTATCTGGGTCTCATGGAGGCATTTCTTCAACTGAAGCTCCTTCCTCTGTGATGACTCTAGCTTGTGCCAAGTTGACACACAAAACCAGCCAGTGCAGTGTCCACAAACCAGTGCAATGCCTGATCACTCAGTTGAGAACGTCTTAGGGTTCCCCCCCAACTCCCAGGTGGTTGTCAGCTGTGTCAGGTTGACAGTCAGTGCTCACTAGGAGAAGCAGGTGGGAAAGTGTCAAAGGACATTCTCTGCTTTGTCACAGGTATTGTCTGAGCCATGGAGGTTGTCTACAAGCCAGACTCCTCAGCAGCAAGTGGAGCTGTTTGACTTTGAGAAACACCCTGACTATGTGTCCTGTGGAGGGGGCTTTGGGCCGGTAAGTACAGCCAGGCCCACCCACTAACTTCAAGCCCATCCCATTATCCTCAGGCTGGCCTCAAACCCACTCACTGTAAAGTCCAGGCCGCCCATCACCGTCCTGCTTCAGCCTCTTTGGTGCCCAGGCTCACACTGAGAACAGGATCCCCATCCTCGTGATCGCATGCCTAGTGATAAAATTGCCCTTTTTCTCTCTGCAGGTTGCTGATGATGGCTATGGTGTTTCCTACATTATCGTGGGAGAGAATTTCATCCACTTCCATATTTCTTCCAAGTTCTCTAGCCCTGAGACGGTGAGTATATTGGGCACCACTTTTTCTAGACATGAGGTGAATTTCCTTTTGGAGGGAGCATATCTTTGACAGAAACATTCAATTCAGGTGTCACCTTTATTTAGCTTAGTTTCACGTAGATGAGTTTCACTCATTTGAAAGGCATTTATTTATTTCATTTACCTGCCTTTGATGGTAGCAGTGATCTTAAGTCTTGATGTGTCTGTGTGCGTCTCTGTCATTCTCTCTATTCTAAACAGCTCCGTGAGCAAATTCTGGCCTTACTTTGGAGCTGTCTGAGGGAACCTCCTAGGAACCGTGTTTTTGTTTGGTTTTGTTTTCTTTTTTTCTTTTTTCTTTTTAAAGATTTGTTTATTTTATGAATGTGAGTACACTGTCTTCAGACACACCAGAAGAGGGCATCAGATCCCATTACAGATGGTTGTGAGCCACCACGGGTTGCTGGGAATTGAACTCAGGGCCTCTGGAAGAGCAGTCAGTGCTCTTAACCGCTGAGCCATTGCTCCAGCCCCCTGGGAACCTTTTTGATGATGGCCTTCACCATATCAGCCCAGCTGATGCTACAAAAACTTCCTGGCTGCCAGCCCCACCCACAGACCCTGAGTCCTCCAGAATGTGATTCAGGAAGCCAGACACGAGGCACACACCTCTAATCCTAGCATCACTTAGGAAGCTGAGGCAGGAACTGAGAGTTCAAGGATAGCCTGGAGTGTAGAACAGAGTGACAGGGAGGCCTCAGATCTAACCCTTCCATGCACATAGTGAGTTACCTATGGCTGTCCCCCTTCTGAATACTCAGGGTGCTTTTATTGCCCCTTCAATAATACCCTCAGAGCTTAGAGTATGGGAATACAGGAGGCTGGCCTAACCCAGGGACAGATGATAATGGACTGGTTCCAAATGTGAGACTTTCTGCATGCCAGTGCTTTCTCTTCTCTCTCTCTTTCCTTCCCTTTCCCTCCCCTTCCTTTCCCTCCCTCTCTCTCCCGTCACCCTCTGTGTGTGTGTGTGTGGGGGGGGACATGGGCACTGAGTATCCCTTCCCATCAATCTCTTTCTTCCCTGGAGACAAGGTCTCTCTGACCCTGGAGTTCACTGTTTGGGCCTCTGCTGTCTGATTAGTAGGTTTCCAGCTGTCTCACCTTCTCTGTCCCCAGCACTGGGTTCCAGGTGGGAAGGGCATGCTTGCTTTTCACATGGGAGCTGAGGATTGAAACTCAGGCTTGCACGAGCATTTTGTCCACTGAACCATCTCCCCAACTCCTTTCATTTGGCTCTTGAAGACAGAGTCTTGCTAGCCCAGGCTGGGTTTGCTATAGTTGATGCCCCTGACTCAGCTTTGCAGGTGCTAGGGTTTGCCCAGCTGCTGATGTGCCGTTTGGCTTTTTTCTTTCAGGATTCACACCGCTTTGGGAAGCATGTTAGACAAGCCATGATGGACATTATCAGCTTGTTTGGCCGCACCATCAATTCAAAAAAGTAACCCTTTGAGCCACATGGAAGGAAAACAGACTTTTGTGATACAAACCAAATGAATAGGTGTTGCTCCTGATCATAGGACAGGCAGAAAATTGTTCTTATAAAACCCAGTTTTCCTTCCAGAAGGTTTACCGTGGGTCTCCCTAGAACAACAGTAGGCTCCACCGTGTGAATTGTGACCCTACTACACCCACAGAGGCCCTGACTTCAGGAATATTGGGCATAGTCCCCTGAAGTCTTTTGAATCGGCTCCTACTGGAAAAGGGGACTTAAATGCTGGTGAATTCCTGGATTTTGGGGGTTGTCTCTTCACACATGTTGGAGGTGACAGACTTCCTCAGTGGTGACCCTGTGAATACTTGGGACTTGAGGGTATCTGACTGCACCCTGGCAGTGCGAGTGTCACCTTATGGAAAGAGAAAGCATCTTCAGAGCCAGCGGAGGTAACAGTTGTAGCTAACACACCTATAACATACTAATGGAATGGTTAGGCCTGGGAATTAAGGTTCTGCTATGAGTGACAGCCATCCTCCCTTTGGGAGTCCACATTTGACTCTCCACATTCCCAGGAAGCAGAATACCACCTCCCCAGTGCCACCTTCCTCACGAGTCTTCAAAACCCAGTGCCTTAAAGATGGGACCCCATTGGCAAGTGGGGCCATAGAGAAGACTTAGCATCTGTGAAGCCTTTGGATGGATATGTGAGGATGCTGCTTCCCCTCAGGGGTTCCTGCATAGAGATGTCTCTAAGCACTTCCCCCGCCCCTAGAAGATGAGGTCCCCAGTGAAGGCAGGGATCCCGGAGTCTCATTGCCTGCCAGTTCCATTAGGCAACAAAACAGCAGACGTGTTCACAGAGGGACTTGAGGGGCTTGGTAGTCAAAGGCTGCATAGCTAGAGATCAGCTGGAGAGTGTGGCTTGCTATATTTGGTAGCTGTTGGCAAGGAGAGTGAGACCCTGGTCACTGAGTCAGGCATACTGACACAGGCAGCCAGCACTTCGTGGCAGCCAGGAGATGCAGGTCCTGGCATGTGTTCTGGCAGATACACCAATGGGCTTATCTTCTAATCCCACCCAGTCAGATTCCAACCAGAGCAAGTTCCATAGAAGGATAGGTCATTTTGGCGACAGACTCAGGGGTCTCAAGTAATGGATGCTTTATACCCAAATGCCATCCCTCAGTGGGAGTGCCTTTCTTGAAAGCACCCATCGGACTGTAAAGCAACTTGGCACCAAGTCCTTTTGGTATTTAATGTAAACACAGCATAATGGAGTGGCCTCCTCTGCCTGCTACCATCCTGTCCTGACAAGATTAGCTATTTGTGTTTTAAATCATGTATTTATGTCCCAGTGGCCCACTGACCTTGCTTGATTCCTGCCCCTATGCTAGCAGTAGCACAGAGGTGAGGGGTGGGGTGACCAGAAGTGCAGAGAGGTGCTTGCTGAACAGCTCATATGTGTCTTATGAGTATACATGTATAAATTTTGTAATCCTAAAAGAAAAAAAAAAGAATCACACCTAAAAGGGCCAAAGTTTTTTTCCTACTAAAACCAAGAAAGCAAAAGACAACATAAATACATAAGCAGAAGCGAACTGTAAGTCAGAGCCGCCTGGCCCTCGATGTTAGGACCACTCGCCAACCTGTGTTACTCAGAGTAGCCCTGGGTGCCCAAGGTGTGACATTCCTCTCTCAGGTTTCCAGTGTCCTTGCTACTCCAGAGCATTCCCAATGCAATCCCGTATTCCTTACAAGGCAGAAGAGTAGGCTTTCACTGTAAGTGTTCAAAGGAGGAGGTAAGACTATCATGTATTTAATTTAATGTGGAACAAAACATAGTCTTACCACAGCCAAGGTTTAAAATTGGTATTCTAATCTGTCCATTGCATGTAAATACCATATGCTGCTTGGATATAAAGCTTAGAAATGCATGTGTGAATGAAGGTAGCTGACCATTAATAAAACAGTAATCCTGTCTACTACAGCATCTGTCCCTGTCTACTTTGTCATACTAATCGGGGTTTTACGACAAGTACCAGCCCTGAGCCTGCAGTGTGGGGGACTTGACTGAGGAGCAGCATGCAGTGGAGCTCGCCCACTGCCACTTCTATCCTCCATTCCTTTGTGGGTGCCTGGCACCATAGAGGTGCTTTAGTGCATGTTCAGTGAATGATAACATTTCTTTTTAGGAATGTGTAGTGTGTGTGCCTGTGCAGCATGTGCACATAGGTGTACAGCTGTGCAGGTCCATGCAGAGGCCAGAGGGGTCCTCTGTCATTCTCCACCCCCTTTCTTTGAGACAGGGTCTGTATCTGAACCTGGAGCTTGCATTTTTTTGGCTATGCCAGCAGCCAGCAAGCCCTAGCAGCCCTGATTCTGCCCCGCTTCAGTGATGGATTCTAGGCATGTATGCAAGCACACCTAGCATTTTTAGGGATGCTGGTATCTAAACTCTGGTCCTCATGTTGTCTGTGTCTTTACTGAGTTTCTTCATCAGGCTCTTCTGAGCATCTGCTCTCGGCAATGAGAAGGCAGGCCTGACCCCCTACCTCTACTTCCAGGTGTTAGCTCCAGTTGCCAGACAGCTACCTGAAGGCTCTTAAGTACTGCAACTTGAGTGAGGCCTGGGCATGATGCATAGACCTTGAATCCCAGAACTAGGGAGGAAGATCATGGATATGAAGCCAACCTTGGCTACATAGTGAGTTCCAGACTAGCCTCATCTATATACTGAAACCTTGTCTCATAAAATGAAACAACATGAAACTGGACATGGACCAGCAGTTAAGAACACTTGCTGCTCCTGCAGAGGACCTGGGGTCAATGCCCAGCACTCATATGGTGACTTACAAGCCCCTGAAACTCCAGTTCAGAGCAGCTGACACCCTCTTCTGACCTCCAACACAGGCATGCACATGGTGCACAAATAGATAAAACACCCATGCACATAAAATTAAGTCTTGCTGGGCAGTGGTGGCGCATGCCTTTAATCCCAGCACTTGGGAGGCAGAGGCAGGCAGATTTCTGAGTTCGAGAGTTCGAGGCCAGCCTGGTCTACAGAGTGAGTTCCAGGACAGCCAGGGCTACACAGAGAAACCTTGTCTCAAAAAAAAAAAATAAGTCTTAATTTTTTAAAAAAAAATAAACAAGAGTCCCAGGAGCCAGACGTGGGAAGTGGAAGCTGGCACAAGGAAGTGCCCAACTAGGCATGGGTTAGAGCTGAGACCAACAAGAATAACAAGACAGAGCGTGCTTTGGCCAACCTACTACAGACAGCAGCAGTCATGGAGTTACCAGGCTTCATTCATTCAGCTTGGTGACACACCAGCGTCTGATTATCTTGTGGGTAGGTGTCTGAGACTCCTTACCATGATTTCCTGGCAGTGTTTTTGCACTAGGATTCCCAGGCCTGCCCCTTGATGCAGTGTAATTATTCCAGCTGTGGAACATGTGTACACAGACACCAGGAGAGCATTGGAGATGACAGGGCAGTCTGGTGCATGAGAGGATGCCAGCCTCATTTTCCATTTTTGTTTTTTTTGTTGTTGTTTTTTTTCAAGACAGGGTTTCTCTATGTAGCCCTGGCTGTCCTGGAACTCTCTCTGTAGACCAGGCTAGCCTCGAACTCTCGAACTCAGAAATCTGCCTGCCTCTGCCTCCCAAGTGCTGGGATTAAAGGCGTGTGCCACCACCGCCCGGCTTCTTTTTTTTTTTTTTTTCTCATTTTCCATTTAAACATTTGGTGGGAGGCTTTCATAGTATGTAACTGAGTGGGGGCTCTCCTAATTTTAACTGGAAGAAGTCAGAGCATTGTGTAGAATCCTTCCCAAGGATATGGGAATGGTGAGGTGCAAAGAAATTCTTGCTGCCAACCTGGGGATGTGGATCAGCCTACAGAGTGCTTGCCTAGCATGCAAGAAACCCTGGGTTTAATTCCCATAGTAAATAAACTGATTATAGTGGTGCACACCTATAATCCTAGCACTTAGTAGGCAGAGGCAGGAAAATGAGAAGTTCAAGATTGCCCTTGATTACATAGTAAGTTCAAGGAAGCCTGGGCCACATGAAACCTTACCTTTAAAAGATAGAAATAAAAAATCGGTTGGAAGTCAACCTGGACTAAATCGTGATCACCTGACCAACTAGAGCCACGAGACAAGACCCTGTATCAAACAAACTAACAAAAAACTAAAAGGGCTGATGAGATAGCCTAGTGGGTAAAGGTGTGTGCTGCCAAACCTGACAAACCTGAGTCTGATCCCAGAACCCACAAAATGGAAGGAAAGACTCAATTCTCCACTCTGGGAAGTTTTCCTTTCCTTCAGACTGATGTCATGGTATGTCCACACATGTCCATACACATACACAATAAGTGTAAATAAACAAAAACAAACCCTGAAAGCAAAACCTGATATCACAGGACTTTAATTGCAACTACTGGAGAGGCTGAGACAAGGTAACAAATTCAAAGGCAGAGTGCTTGCCCAGCAAGTAGTAGGCCCGAGATTCAATCTTCCCTACTGCATGAGTAATAAGTAGATAAATAGGCTGGAAGATGTCTCAGTGGTTAACAGCACTTGCTGTTTTTCCTGAGGACCCAAACTCACTTCCCAGTACCCATTAACTCAGTTTTGCCACACCCCTTGAGAGGTTGGACTGACCATTAGGGACCGTTAGAGAAAGGGGCGGGACCTTGTGAACAGGCGGGGCCTGGGTAGGGGTGGGTGTGGCCTCAGCTTGCTGAAAATAGTCTTGGACAGATGTCAAGCTGGGAGGCCCGCCTAGCACTGCTTCAAATTTCCTGGGATGTCAGTCATGCTTTTAACTCCAATTTTTGGGAGGCAGAGACAGGCAGAGTATCAGGCCAGCCTGGTCTACGTAAAGAGTTCTAGGCCAGCCAAGGCTACCTACTGAGATTCTGACTTAAAAACAAAAACAGGTGAAAGGGAGGGGTGAAGACGATGTAAGTACAGTACTCACTTATGAAATTCTCAAAGTTGAAAAACCAGCACCTTGGGAGCCTCAGTTTCCCCCACTGAGGGTAGGAGAGGTTGGCTGATACCCAGTCCCTCGAGCCTCCATCCAAGCATACAGAAAGGCTGCACTACAGGCCTTGCCCACCAACCACAGCCCAGCCCTCGTCCATCATGCTCAAGCCCCGCCCACCAAGAGCTAGAGCCCAACCTCCACGCCAAGGCCCCGCCCACCATAGGCTCCCACCTACCACAACCCAGACTCCTGTCATCTTGGCCGAGGCCACACCTACCACGGCCCAGGCCCCGCCCCGTTCAGTCAGAGACGGGCCCCGCCCCCTTCGCTAACGGTCAACGGTCGATCCAACCTCTCAGGAGCATAGCAAGCTGGGCGGCCGCGTCGTGTCGCTGTTCTCGGGTCCCTGTGGCCATGGAAGACGCGCTTCTCGGTGCCATGACTGGCCCCGAAGACGAGCTGGGCGCCGAGCTGTTCGGGTCAGAGCGTGCGTTCGCGGACGGGCTGGCGCTGAGCCCCGCGGGCGGTGCGGCCGATCGGAATGAGCTGCCCGTACTGGCGGACGCCTACCTGGGCGCCACCGAGCCGGGGGAGCCGCTGCTGCGTGCGCTCAGCCCCCCGCCGGGCGCTGAGGTACCGGCCACCCTGCTCGGCGACTTCCCAGGGCTGCCTGAGCTCCGCAGCTCAGACGACGCCGCTCCACCTCCCGCCTACAGCGTGCACGTGCTGTCGTCGTTACTTCCAGGCGCTCGTGGGCCCGCGCTGTTGCCGCTAAGCGCAGGAGTGCGCGTGATCCCAGTAAGCGCCGGCAGGGGGCGCCGTCGCGCCGCATCTCCACGTGCATACCCTGTGGGTTACTCCCAGGCCGCATGCTCTCAGGGGAGTTAGGGCGTCTCCGGGTGGCACAGGCACCACAAGGGTTACCTCTTGGGCACCCCACTTCCTTTCTGCCCAGCCTTTTCCCCTGCAGATGACAGTACCACGCTAGAAGTGTTTGTAACTATTGCCATCACAATAGGTGTTTGTATTGGACGTCTGTTTTGCATCATTACTGGCCTGTTGGACTTGTGTCTCCACTCTTCCCCACACTCCCCAGCAGGACTAGGGATGGAACCCAGGGCCTTTTTCATGTTCCACAGATAATCTTCAGCCTGGTAGTTTGGGGTTGAGGTGGGGGGTTGTTTTTTAGATACATGCTTGTTCACACCATTCATTATTGAGGATTTTATCAATTGATGATTTTCCCCACTCTGTAAAACAAGGGACGATTCTTTAAACCTGTGTACTAGAGTCTTGATGAAGCTTACTTCTCAGCCAGCTACTGTTCCTTGAAATTGCTATATATAGCTTAGAATGACCTTGAACCTCTGATTCTCCTGCCTCTACCTCCTAAGTGCTAGGATTACATGTGAGCCCTATCACACCTGTAAGCCCCACCACACCTGGTTCATACCAGGTGGGGATCAAACCCAGGGCCTACCTTCTGCTAGTCAAGCATTCTTCCAACTGAGCCACATCCCCAACTCCTCTACTCTCTTGCCAAAAGGAAGGAATCAACCTTTTAAAGGAAACTCAGCACATAGGTCAGCCCCCAGAACTCTGCTTGAGAAACAGGGTTCCTCATCCAGTCAAATGTGTCAGGTCTAGAGTAAGCCTTCATAGATTTTATTTTTTAAATCTTTGTGGAGATGACAGGAGCCTGGCTTTATACAGCAATAAGTCACTGCTAGTGGAGTTCAGGACCCAAAAAATCCTGTTCCCTGCTCAATTTACAGGGAAGGTGGGGCTCTAGCCTTCCCCTCAGGAACCTTCTAGCTCAGCCTCATCCCAAGGAAGAGGCCTCCTCCTGATTTCCAATATTCCAAATGCCAGCAATTCCATTTACCTTAAACAGGAGCTGGCCCAGCACCTTTTGCCGGGCCTAGCTCTCCTCTCCCCTCAAAGAGTGGAATAGGGAAGGGAATAAGCCAGTGTGGAAGACAAGTTCTCTTCTAATGTAATCCAGATTTAATTATTGGGTGACAAAACATTCTGTTTTTTAAATTTTTTTAAAGATTTTTTTATGTGTGAATTTATTTACATGTAGGTGCACTATGAGCACGCAGTGCTCAAGGAGGCCAGAAGAGGGTGCCAGATCCCCTGAAACAAATCACCCATCAGTTGTGAGCCACCACGTGGGTGCTGGGAACTGAACCCAGGTCCTCTGCAAGAGCAATAAGTGCTCTTAATCGATGAGCTGTCTTTGCAGTTACTCTTTGAACTTTTAGATTATTTCTTAATTCATCAATCCAAAAATAGATAAAGCATGGGTATATTTGTTGCTTAAACAATAGAATTGTTCTGTTTCTAGTCTAGTAACTCTTCAGAGTGAATTACTAGCACCCTTTTGTAGACCTTTGTTTTTGTTTTTTTGAGGCAGAGTCTCATGTAGCCAAGGCTGGTCCTAAACTCCGTGTACCAGCACATGCTCTTCACTCCTCCTCCTTTCCAACAAAGGCTAGGACCCCAGGCTCAGGCCAGCACTCCGGCTCTCTCTGCGGGAACCCTGCCCACACGTCTTCCTGTGGTTAGGACCAGTCTGGAGAAGTACTACTGCTGTAGTATAAACAGTTCTGATAGTTGCTGCTGCTGAAGAGGTCGGCAATTGTGTGTGGGTAGGGGAAGTCATTTCAGTGAGACTCCAGGAACTACTAGGAGGTTCCCAAGGCAGCAAGCAGGAAAAGTGTAAGTTTCCTGCATTTCCATAAAGTTTGAAATGTCCAAGTAAGGCTATCATTCAAAATCTAGCTGCACTTTCTTTTCTTCTAAGGTTTGGACCACTCAGGTCTGATGTAAGTTTTGTAACCTTTGGGACTTTTCAGCTTTTAAATCTCATTGCTTCTTAGTAAATGTAATTTTTGTCTCATTTATTTATTTTATAATTCAGTTTACTTATTTGTGTGTGGGTACATGCTCCACAGTGTACATGTAGAGGTTAGAGGACAATTTACAACAGTTGACTTTCTCTGTCATGTGTGTCCTGGAGTTCGAACTCAGTGCTCTTACCTACTGAACTGTCTTGCTAGTCTTATTTATTTCTTTTTGATGCAGGCTCTCAGTATATTTCTAACTCTTGTCCTCTTCACACCCTGGAACTGATGGCTGTCCTCAGAGGCCTCCATCCTGAGGCTGCTCAGATGGCTAATTCCCTTTATTTCTCAATGGAGAAAATGGTTCCAAGGGCTGAGGGCCAGAGCAGTCCTTGCTCTGCTGCTGACCCCGAGCTCAGACTTCAGTGTTCCATGTGCTGTCTATCGATCCAGCGCATGTCTCTGTATCCTCTAACATGACCACTGCTTTTCCAGGTGGAAATCAAAGAAGCAGGTGCCAGTGTGCCAGGGAGCAGCCCTGAAGATGCAGCAGCTTTCCAGGCCTCTCTGGCTCAGGAATCCTGCTGCAAGTTCCCATCATCCCAGGAGACAGAGGAGGCCTCCAGCTGCCCTCGGAAGAAAGACTCCAGCCCCATGGTAACTATTAGAAAAAAAAAAGCATCACTCAGCCAGTCAAGGATCCCTGCCTGCCGCTATTGCTCGGTTCCTAAATCCGCACTCTTTGTCTGTCTACAAAGCGGGAGAGTATACTTGAGCCTACCCCCCCAAGATTCTCATCCCTGTCCCTCAGAAAATCAAATGAGGATTGGGACACTGCTGCACCCCATGGGGGAGCCACCATAAGTATGCTGTCTGCTGTCTGTGTAGAGGGTTAGGAATTGAGGTGGGGACACTCCAGAAACAGCCCTAGGATTTGGAGTGGTGGTTTCTCCAAGGCTGTGTTTCTACAGCTTCAGGGCGTAGGCCCAACCTTTCTGGGGACTGTACCTGTGTGATATCATTTCCTTATCTTAGCCCTGCAGGCACTCCTTCATAGCCTGTCCTAGATAACAGATGCCTCACGGTTGTCTCAGCCCTAGGCGTGTGGTGTGTTGCTCTTCTGGAACTGCTCTGGAGACAGAATCACCAGCACTTCAGCCCAGCTGGGGCTACACAAGCAGCACAGCCTTAGAGCCTTCAGCTGCTCCAGATAAGGCTTCCCCAGAAACACCTGAAATAATGTCCTTCTGAAATCTGTCTTGGGGTGCAAACACCCATCTGTGCCCAATCCTTATTTAGACCCCCAGGTTCTTCTGGCAGAGCTTTCCCAGGGCGTTCAAGAAACCAGAGGACAAAGGATTCTGACTCTTTCCACACCGTAGGGTGACAGACACCTCCCATCTCTTCCTGGGCTGTGGAGCCCAGAGCTTGGCATCACTTTAGGCTGTTCACAGTTTGGTGCATGCCTCTAGGTGGCTACATAGTCCTCTGAATGTAGCTATGCAGGCCACTGGCCTCTTCCAGTGTCAGAATGACTTGAGCGTTTTTCCCTGGAACCTGCATTTCTTCTACTAGCAGGTTCATGGTGTTGTTCAGATGACTTCTGTCCTTTGTATCTATTTCAGTTCTCCTGACACAGTCTCCACACCACACACCCTGGACTCCATCAGTGCCTGGAGTGCTGGCTCTGATGGGCAGATATACCTGGCTTGCTGAGGATGAGTGCTCAAACCCACGTGGGTCTGACAGAGTTAGTCAGGCCCCATAAGCTCAACATGGTTTCTTAGGAGTTTCTAGTCACTAACTTCATCTTAACTGTATTTATAGGAAATTAAAGAACAGGCATAAAAAATCCACAAAATCACCTGTTAAATAATAGCCTGGCTTTGCAGCTGGGAAGAACACATAGCAAATTACAGTTAATTCTACAGATGTGCTTAGCCCCCAGGGGTCTCAGAGGTGGGAAATTGAGGTTCAGAGGATAGGCAGATCCCTGTCCACTAGGTTGTGGACGTGAGGAAGAAATCTCAGTCCATACCCAAGTCCTTCAGAGGATGCAGTAGCAACCTATGAGTATGTGGAAATGTCCCAGGAATACCTGGGGTTGGGGAGCAGCAGTTAGTGTGGAGGAAGGCATGGAGGGCACACCCACCTTCTTCCCCCAATTTAAGCCCTAGAGAAAGTCTTCTCAGATTTCATTCTGTTCCTGCTCTGAACTGGAGTCATCTGCCCTCTTCATGTCATTTCAGGTGATTTGTCAGCTGAAAGGAGGTGCGCAGATGCTCTGCATAGACAACTGTGGCACGAGGGAGCTCAAAGCACTCCATTTGCTTCCTCAGTACGATGACCAGAGCAGCTTCCCACAGTCAGGTACCACAGGGCAAAAGCTGCTCTGGGTCACTCCCATTGGAGGTGGTGAGGAATGGGGCAGCAAATGAGCCTGTTAGGCTCCTGTCCAAGAGTATGAGGAGAGAGGAGGAAGCTCTGTCAGTAGCTGGCTAGCCAGCCCAGGCTACTTGGTGAGTTCAGACCAGTGAGAGACCCTGCCTAAAAAAAGAAAGAAAAGATAGATGTCTACTGAAGAACGTCACAAAAGGTTGTTCTACACAACACACACACACACACACACACAGGCCAATGGTGTATTAAATGAGTGCTTAAGCAAACCTGGGCAATAGCAGTCAGAGTAGAATGAAACAGCCAACCACAGCCTAATATTTCCACATAATGTTAAGCAACTCTCTTGTCTGGCTTCCTCTACTGCCTTGCCTTCTAGTGACAGTTCTCATCAGTCTGGCTCTGCTTTGTCCCTCTAGGCAGGGGCAGATGTGGCTTGCCTGAAACATTATTAGCCTATCCAATGGCTCAAGGCCTGGCTGTTCAAATGTGCTCTAAATTAATTGGCATTTTAATATGAACAGTTTGTGTGATCAATAAGAGTGGTCCCTCTGTTTTACCCTCAGGAGTTCCAAGCTGGCTCTCCAGTGACCTGTTTGACAGTCACTTAGCCAGCTCCTCACACTGACATGAAAATTGACAAATGACCCCAAAGGGCCTGATCTACACTTCAAAGCTGATGAGTGCTTAGTGAAAGAGTAAATGATGTCTTGGGCCTGTCTAACCAAGTCCCTGCCTTGGCCTTTGCAGTGAGCCTCTCTGTGTAAACCATAGGGGCTCATGCTGCTGTGATGGGAGGTAACCTTCCAACAGTGTCAGGCTAATGTCAAGGTCAACCAGATTGGAGCTGAGGACAAAAAAGAAGAGTAACACTCTGTCTCCATCCTCCCTCCTTGATGTCTTTATGCAGGGGCTGGACCTAACCTCTAGGGTTCCTCTAGTGCTGATCATCCTGGGATCCTCATATCTATCTCCCCACGTCCAAGCTGCACCTACGATGCTTAGTGGACAGGGAGGTGTATTTTCTCATGCCTAAGTCCTGATCCCTAGAGAGCCACAGAAGGTCCTTCAGTTCAGTGTCCCTGTGGAGGAATTGAGGCTCTTTCTCAGTTGTTACTTCCTGCTACTTGTAGCACATCTATGGTCCCCAGTCTTTTTCTTACTGAAAGGATCCAGAGGCCCAGAGCAGGAAGTAGGTGTATACTGGAGGGCTCCAGGGAGGAAGAGGAGGATACACCAGGTCTCCAGGGATGTTACCTGTTGGAGCCTTTGGACCAAGTACAAGTGGCTTCATCTAGAGAGTTTAGAAAGCATTGATAGCCTAAAAAGTTGGGGCAATGCAAGAAAAGCAGATGCAGAGATTGAAAGTCCTGGATGTGATATCCAACAGTTGTTGCTAGGCTTTCATTGAAAATGGAATATGCTTTAAGGTGTTCAGGGAATTTGCTAGGTCGTGTAAGGGTACCTTACACAGTTTTAGAAGCTGAGTGCTAGCAGCTTTCAGTATAGTAGACCTCTATGATGCTCAGACCAAGCAGCTTTATGATGAAAAACAGAGCAAAAAATAAAAGTTTAAAAAGTACACTGACCCAAAAGGGACTATAGAAAACTCACAAAACCCAGAAAGGGTGGCACCTCCCTGTGCCACCAAGGACTACATGCACAGTGAAGTGAGCTCCCAACTTTATAAGACCCTGCCTAAAACAAGGAGCTAGAGAAATGGCTTAGTAGTCAAGAGCGTTTGCTGTTCATCTGGAGGCCCCAGCTCCCAACATGCACTTCACATGGCTCACAAACTGCCTGGAACCCCTGATCCAAGGGAGGGAACACCTTCTGCCTCTGTGGGTATCTCCACACACATGACATATACCTAACCACACGTGTGCATGTGCACATAAAGAAAATTAAAAACAAAAGGACTAAGGTCAGGGTAAGTTTAAATAGCCTCGCCCGTGGTAGACCTATACCTTTTAGTGTCTGCTGTCAGCTAATGTCAGGTGTTTTCCTACAGAACTCCCTAAGCCAATGACAACTTTAGTGGGAAGACTTCTGCCAGTACCAGCAAAGTTAAACCTCATCACACAGGTGAGCCATTAGTACAGAAGCAGACTTTCCATCGCCTCCTGGCATGCCCATCGCTGCACTTGTCTCCTCAGGTTATGTAGTTAACGGTGAGAGGCAGGCCTCATGACCTGTATCTGTAATCTCAACAGCTGGGAAGTGAGGGTGGGAGGCTCAGGAGTTCACGGTCATCCTCATCTGTATAACAAGTTCAAGATCAGCCTGAGTCACATAGAGCCCTTCTTAACACTATCAAAATCAGTAGTGAAGCGTTTACTGAGTATCTGTCCTTTCACACCTGTGTCAGACCTTGGATGGAAGACTAGAAATAGGGACATGAGGCTGTGGGAAAGACAAGAGTCACAGCATTAGCCAGAAATCCCTTATGTCCCCATTGCTGGCCCTCTGCCTGAACAAATGCTAAGTCAGAGAGATGTGCTAGCAATGATGCGGAAAGGGAATAGAGGACAGCCTCCTGAGTGTTGCAGCAGTGATTTTTCTGGGAGGGGGTCAGGGTAGACAAGGTGTGGATAGAGGAGTTCAGATGCCAAGTCTGAAAAAGAAACAAGTGTTTGCCAGTGAGACTTAGATGTCCAAGTCTCTTTTGAGAACATAATAGTTTAGGAATGCTTCCAGTTTGTGGACATTTGTAACTGATTGTATTTTCAACTGCTGGTTTGGAGACACAAAGTGTTTCATGATAGTGTCTCCCTAAGTGACAGCTGTATGCAGTGCTCCCTAGCTTGTCCCTGGCCTTAGACCCTTCTCCACCCTGACTGTTCTCTCCATCCCCATGATCAGTGAGACTTTGTACCCTTGGGGCCCTGGGCATGAGAATAACCTACACGATGGTCTCAGCCTGTGGGCTCAGTCTCAGTGGACTGCCGAGGTCATAAGGCCTGGCCATGCGATTGTGACACTCTAAAGAGACCGCTCTTGCCTTTGCCTCCATCAGGTTGATAATGGAGCTCTCCCATCGGCTGTCAATGGGGCTGCATTTCCCTCCGGACCTGCTCTGCAAGGGCCACCCAAAATAGCTCTGGCTGGGTAAGGATTAAAATCGGAGGCCACTACCTTTGATGCAAACATCTAAGATGCTGCTGTGTAAGCTTTACTTCCTGCTGCACTGTAAAATTAACTGAAACATCAGTAGCCATCCTGCCCCACCGCCGGAGCAGGGCCGCTGGCCTTCCTATGTGCACGTTAGTAGTAGGCCCTGGCTTTCCCTCCACTCCTTGCTGCCCCTTGTGTGCTCCATGATCCCCTGGCTATAGCTCTTTCTTGGTGTGCACTTGGGTGGGTAGTGCCACACTGGCTCCTCTTGGCTGTTATCAGTGCAGGTCACATAGTGGCAGCTGCTTATGTGGACAGTCAGGGGTTGCAGCGCTGCCGCTATGTCCCTGGCACACTCTCTGTGGCAGATGTCCCACAATCTCAGGTAGGCATGAGGGACACTTAGCCAGGTCCATTTCGTCCATTTTAATGCTGTGTGTAAGCTGCAACTGGTTAAACTGAGCACTCTGGTAGGAACTCTTGGGTCACCATGTATTGGCTATGCTCTCTGAGCCTGTGCTGTTATTGGCAAGCCTGCGACAAGGGGCTGGAGACAGGCAGGAGAGAAGTCCGATGGTCTCTGGATACAGACAGTGTTCCATCCTCGTGTTAGGCTCAAGTTGGTGGAAACTGAAGCTTTGGTTGTAGCACATTTGGAGCAATGCCATACATAGTTGTTGGCTGATGATTTTCCTTAAATGTTCTAGAATGAGGCAGGATGGGTTCTTGCTTTCCTCTGTGAGTATAGTATACCTGGACTGGTGGCATTCTCGTTGATGATCCTGTGGTGGCTGTTTATACTGGAGGAAGAAACAAGATGACTTCCGCAGCTTGTAGCTGCTGCTGATAGCATCAAGGCTGTGCAGGGGATCTGGGGGTATCACAGGCCATGTGAAAGGCTCACCACACCTTTGTTGTGACACCACCCCATGCACTGTCATGTCCAGAACCTAGTAGCAGATGCTGGCTCACAGTCATAGCACTGCGTGGGTATAGTTTCCAAAGGAGCAATATCTCTGCAGCAGTTTCTCCTTTTCTCCTGATTACCGCTCTGTATTAGCCTTTCTTTCACATGCTGTCTTAATTTTTTTTTAAATAAAATTCTGCAGGACCCCAAAACTTTCCTTCTCATAGAGAATGCACCAGGAAACACCTGAGCTTTGAGCTTATTGTTCTGCTGTGGAAATGACCCAACCCGGAGTCACTCCACTGAGCCAACCCTGCAGGTATCCTGACTGGAGTCTGGGTATGGTGTGAAGACCTGGGCCTGGTAGCTTCAATATGGAAATTCCCAATCTGAATCAACCCACCATCCCCTCCTCTTCACATGCTCCTCAGCCCTCTTAATAACGTCATAGTTAACCAGATCTGAGAGATCAGATGGAAACTGTCACTCATAATTGTCCCTGATAAAGGACAGAGAAGCAGTTCACTGGAGCCTGGAGGGTAAATGTGTGGCTTGGCCAGTCCCAGAGCCTGGTGCTGACTGGCTAACTTATCTACCTTTTGTTAACTGTATTCTAGAACTCCTTGAGATAACTCTTGTTGATTGGCTTTAGCTCTCAGATCACCTGTCAGGTAATGGATGTGAATCCTGCCCCATGGGTATTGCTGTCGTTGTTATGATGAGATTAGCTGGTAGTTGGCATCTCCAGAGGTGTGTTTCATTTGTGGTACCCTGCAGAGGTGAGATTATCCAGATCTTGGCAGGCCGTTTGGCCTCACTAGGACAGTAGTTAGACACTGTCAGAGCCACAGAATCCTTTCCCAGTAATTTCAAGCCCAGGGGATGGTTTGCTTCTCCTATGCTCCATTTATTCCCAAGGGCCTGTCTCTGCTCACAGTGTGCATCAAGACATCCTTTCAGCCATAGGAAACCCCTGCCAGGGCTGGGGAGAAGGCTGTGGTCAGTCTTGTGCAAGCATAAAGATGTGATGTGAGTTCCATTCCTGAACCCCACATAACACGCCAGGGCATGGTTGTGTTTTCTGAGGGTGAGAATAGTAGTATCTCTGGGTCTTTCTGGCCAGACTGGCAAGCTCTAGAGCAATAGGAGACCCTGTCCAAAAAAAGGGGGGGGGCTGGAGAAATGGCTCAGTGGTTAAGAACACTTGCAGTTCTTGCATGTGGGTTCTATTCCCAGGACCCACACCAGGCAGATCACAACTGCCTGTAACTCTAGTTCCAGAGGATGTGATGCTGTCTTCTGGCTCCCACAGGTACCGCATGCACATGATACACATAATCTACACTTAGTACACACACATACACATCAAATGCTTAAAAAAATAATGTGGAGCACAGTAAAGGAAGACACACAGACTAGCTGGTCAGTGAGGTCAGTGAGGCCAGGGATTCACTCGTCCCCACCTCCCCTGTGCCAGGATAATAGGCATATGGCAGCATACCCAGCTTTTTGTGTGGGATCTGGGATTGAAACTCAGGTCCACATGCTTGGATGACAAGCACTTCCCCTACTGAGCCATCTCCAGCCCTGTCTGTGGCTCTTTGATGCTTACTTTGTAGTGTTCAGATTTGGTGGGAAATCCCATTTAGAGGAACAGAGGCCTAAGCAGGTCAGAGGTGGAGCCTTGGGAAGACTGCAAAGTAGTAGGCGGCTGTGGGAACCACCCCCGCTGGACCTGACCCCGATGTGTTTAGAGCACGTATCAGTGGCTGCTGCCTGTCAGCTTCTAGAGCTCATTCTCTTTGTATTGTATTTTTATTGTATTTATGTATTTCATTTTATTTTATTTTTAGCTTTGTTTTAGCTTTGTTTGGCTTTGTTGTGGCATTTTCATACACATAACACTGTTGTTACTCTTTGCCACTGCTCTCCTCTGTCCCCCACTTCCCTCTTGGTGGTCCCCTTCTGCTTTCATGCATCTTTCCTCTCTCACGATCACCATCTACTATGTATGCATATAAACACACAGGAGTCTTTTTCCAGACCAACCATTCGCAGACATTTTCCTTTTTAATCCTTGTAGAGTAACTCTGAGCTCATGGGACACAAAGTCTAAAGAGCCATGTAACTGCACCAAATCACTGATCTGAAATTAAATGCTTTCCTTCCAAGATAAGGGTCCTGGTTTGTTTGGTGTCCTCTGCCTCTTCTGTGATGTGGCATTCTCAACACCCTGTCTCTAAAGGCCTGATGATTGACATGATCCATATTGAAATTTTCTCTAAATAATTCTGTCCCCAGGATGCAGAGCCTCCTTCCCAGAAGTCTCAGGCCAGGGAAAGGGGTGGGGAATCAAGGCAAGCTGTACAGTGAACATGGGCTGACACTGATGGCTGCACCTCCATGATCGTTTTACTGCAGATCTCCTGCTGAGGGAAGTCCACCATGGGACAAGGACAGGAGTGGTTTCTACACTTTTACCCAGAGCAAAACTGAAAGCACTGCTGGAGGCTGGGTATGGGGCTTGCAGGCAGAGCCCAGTACTTGGGAGATTGAGACAGGGTTGTCACAATTTTGAGGATAGCTTGGGTTACAGAGTTGGTTTGAGGCCAGCACAGGTTATAAGTGAGGTGCTTCTTTTACAAAATAATACTGAAAGTTGGTGTTGACTGCAAACATTGGAGTGAGTCTGGCTTGATGTGGAGCTCTCAAGGCTGGAACCTTAAAAGTGAAGGTGAGGGTGAGGACAGAAGGTTGGTGAGCACAGCTACAGATAGGATGTGAGGTGAGGTCAAGGAGTGGACTGTAAGGGAGGCCTGAGTTCCTTATAAATATGCTATCGCAGTGCTTTGTTTCATAATGTTCTTAGGGCTGCCTCCTCGTGTGAGGCTCGCTTCTGTGGCAGCAGTTTTGATGAGCAGTCATGCCAACCCCAATAATCTTTCTCCCATCATTTCACAGAGCAAGGAGGGGCCTCTCACTGGGCCAAGGGCATTTTCCTTGATGGGACACACTCTGAAATTGGAGCCAGTTTGTACAACAACAGTAAATAGTTTGCAGAGCAGGTTTTTTGGTTTGGTTTGGTTTGGTTTGGTTTGGTTTGGTTTGGTTTGGTTTGGTTTGGTTTGGTTTGGTTTGGTTTGGCTTGGTTTTGGAAAATTTGAAACAGGGTCTCTCTGTAGCCATGTCTGTTCTGGAACTCACCACATAGATCATGCTGGCCTAGAACCCAGAGATCCACCTGCCTCTGCCTCAAAGTACTGGGAGTGTCACACCTAGCAGTGTTTTGAGACAGTCGCATGCAGCTCAAGCAGGCCTTGAACTCCTAATCATCCTGCCTTGCTCTCCGGAGAGTTGGGGTGACAGGCCTGTACTCCCTCTTCTTTCCCATGTTAGAAGACTGGGTCATTTAGAGTCTGGAGCTCACAGCACTGGCATCCAAGGCTTGTCTGTCTGAATTGGTCTGAATCACTGTTGCTTTCTTGAGTTTCTGCTCACCTGGTCACCTTGTGTCCTGTGGCTGCATTTTCCTGTGGCGTTTATCAGTGAAGACTTTAGGTGAAGGAATTATTTGTGGTTTGGCATGAGGATGAACTTCCTCTAGGGTGTGTCTTCACTTCCCCTGGGGCTGTAGTTCCCAAGTTGGACAATAAAAAGTTTCAACCAGTAAGGTTTGCTGCCTCTGGAGGAAACGTGGCACAGGGCATCCCAGGTATGTCCTTGAATATTATTTTTACGTCTCCATAATAACCAGAGCAAGATGACCAGGAAACATTGCCATCAGCCACCCTGGAGCAATGTAGACCTAGAGGTGGCAGCTGTCATGCACCATTCAGTCAAGCAAGTTTCATGCACCATTCGGTGTTCACTGATACTTCACTGACAAAAAGGAACACAGCATTCAAGTGGTAGTGGCTGTCCATGAAGCTTCCCAGGCAACAATGGTTGCAGATTGATGGCAGAGGTTGCCTATACCTTGTACCATAATCCCTAAATGATCATGGTGCAGGAGCCTGAGACACTGAGAGTGCCATGCTCAGTCCCCTGCTGCCACTGATGTTGCTGTGCCAACTTGACTTGATGGGTCAGGGCTGTTTGGCAGAGGGGAGCAGAGCTGTCCAGAAGAAGCTGTGGTGACAGCTTGGTAGAAATAGCTGTGTCTACTCCCTGCTCTGCCAGGGAGAATGAGGAGAGCAGAGAGCTGAGGAGCAATGATGGGCATGTCTTCCAGGAAATGGTGTTGCTTCAAACTGCCTGTGAAAGCCAGTGGCTTTACTTGTTTGTCTCTCTTCTGTGTTAGTAGTTAGAAAACGTTACCCCTGCTTCAAATCCTGATTTTCATATAAAAAGTCCAAAGGGGACCCCTAAACTAAGTCACTGTCGTTATCTGCATGCTCTCACCTCAGGCTGCCTGTGCATGTCTCTGCGCTCTCCCTCACAGGTACTGTGACTGCTTCTCCAGCGGGGACTTCTGCAACAGCTGCAGCTGCAACAACCTGCGCCATGAGCTCAAGCGCTTCAAAGCCATTAAGGTAATGCACTGGGCAGGGCTTTACAATGTCGTCTGTGAATGGTCTCCAGAGTCCAATTCAAGCCGAAGCATAGACAGGCACAGTGACCAGGGCAGTAGTGAGACCCAGCAGTCTGGGCCACTTCAGAGTCTGGGAAGCTCTGACTCGAGCATAACTTCTCTCTACTCTAGATTCATAACTATGGTAGCACTGTGCCCTGTCGGCAGGGACACTGTATCACCTGAGGATGGGAAGCTCTTGGTTAGGCCTCACAGACTTTAAACTTTCATTCCTTTAGTTTTAGGTGCAAGGATATCTAAGCTTTCTCCAGTCAGCGGCAGGCTGATTGCAGAAGACTGCTGCATCTATGCCTTCCTGTGGGTCCAAGGACCAGGACGTGGGAGGGGTAGCTAGGCTGGGCCTGGCAACTTCTCCAGGGAGACACTTCCAAGGCCCTCAAGAGCCATCAGCTAAGGCTGGAGGGTACCCTGTTCATGGAACAGAAAAGACCCTGAGCCTCGGTCAGTCTGTCTTTTATCCCCGCCTTAGAACTATTTCCCCCTCTTGAGTTGTAGTATATCACTTGGAAGTGTCTTATCAATTCAGACATGGCTAGACCCGGAGGACAAAAGAGCCTGGCCATGGCCCTGAGCTTCACAGCAGTTGATTGTTCTTTTTATGTAGCAGTGAGTGCGATCTGTTAGTGTGAGATTAGGACTCTCATGTGCCAGGGATGGGAACATGGCTTGATAAAGCTGATACTCTGAGAAATGATTAGCAGATTCTCTGACAGCTAAATCTTTGCCTAGATGTCACCAACATGCATCTCCCTAACACATAGCCAGTGGAAGCTGGAGGAAATCCAAGCAAGTTTCTAGCAGCTTCGTTCACAATAAACAAAACCTGCCATAAGCCAACAGCCCATCAGTGATGCGATGGAGCATCTGCCAGCTAGGTGAATACAGAATGCCACACACCATAGGGAAAGACTAGTGATCCCTTCCAGTGGAAAGAGTTACGTTGGCCTCACCCTTGTTCTGGGCCATGTACACACTGTCTACCCGACACCCCTACAGTTTTAAGCTCCCAAGTTTGCCAACAGGATGAAATGAAAGACAGTATGCATCAGAGAGAAAGACGGCTGGGTGCTGGTGTGACCTATTATGCCATGACCTCACCTGCCTCAGGCAAAGGTGCAAGGCATACTGGGAGGGCACCCTGGCTTTCTGTACATGCTCTATTCTCTACAGTACATATCTTGGGCTTTCAAATGCAGAGAAAGGGCTCAATGCTTCTAGAACCCAGCCACTATCACAGTTTTGTGTGAGGTGAGGCATATTTGCACAGAAGCCTCGAGGCCTCTGGCATGTCTGAGGCCTAGCCCCCTCAGTGGTTCCCCTGCATGGCCTTCCCTTGCACAGAGCAGAGCCTTGCTTCTGACTCCCATGCATCTCTTGATGGTTCTCATGTTCTCTCTTAGGCGTGTCTTGATAGAAACCCTGAAGCTTTCCAACCAAAAATGGGGAAAGGCCGGCTGGGAGCTGCTAAGCTTCGACACAGCAAAGGGTGCAACTGTAAGCGCTCAGGCTGCCTGAAGAACTACTGTGAGTGCTATGAGGCAAGTGACAGCTTCCTGGAACAAGCAGACACATCCAAGTAGCTTTGTTGTTAGAAGACATTTGCTGTAGTGTAAAAAGGGGTGCGCAATACCTGTCCATCCTTCCCCATGTGATAATAGGTGCTGTCAACTTGGCAGGGTCTAGAGCCACTGGGAAACAGGCTTCTAAGGGATGCCATGGTCAGACTTAACTGTCATCTCGGCAGGGTCTAGAGTCACCTAGGAAACAGGCCTCTGGCCATGCTCTGGCGATTGTCTTGAGGTAGAAGGAAAGCCTGCCCACTAGGGACAGCACCATTCCTAGCTTCATTCCTGGACTGCAAGCAGAGAGACAGCAGCATTCACCACTCTCTGCTTCCTGATTGTGGATCCCAGCTGCTTCAAGCTCCTGTCTTCTTGACTTCCTCTCCATGCTGGATTGTAGCCTTGATCTGTGTGCTGAGGTGAACCACTTCTCCTCTGAGTTGCTTTTGTTCAGGGTATTTTATCAGAGCATCAGGAAACAAAACTAACTAAGACACTATTTTGTTTTTATAGGCAGGTCTCATGTGGTTCAGGCTGGCCTGGAACATCCCTAGCCAAGGATGCTGACCTTGAATCTATGATTCTCCTGCCTCCACCTCTAGAGCACTTGGATTAGGGCCATTCACTAATGCTGCCATTTCTGCTCCCTTCCCTAGTGAACAGCCTCTAGTGTTAATCTGAACTAATCTGACCAAGCAGATATGAGTGCAGGGTAGCTTGTCGGGGGAACTCTGATTTCATCAAGGCATTTTTTTTTTATCATCAGGCCAAAATCATGTGTTCTTCCATTTGCAAATGCATTGCTTGCAAAAACTATGAAGAAAGTCCAGAGCGAAAAATGCTGATGAGCACACCCCACTACATGGAGCCTGGGGACTTTGAGAGCAGCCACCATCTGTCCCCAGCCAAGTTCTCAGGACCTCCAAAACTGAGAAAAAATAGGTAGGTTCTCTGAACAGTTAGGTGGAGTGATCCTGAGGGAGGCTTAGAAACCACATGTGCACCAGCTGGACCTGTAGGGCTACAGGGGACAAGGGGGGGGGACAGGAAGATGAAAGCCCAGTGTGCAAGGTGGCTACTGTGGTTAAGGTGTAGCCCACTCTATAATCATGAGGGCCTGAGTTCAAATCCTAGCTCCCATATAAAAAGTCAGACTTGATGCCCTATGCCAGTGATCCCAGTACTAGGGATGGAAACAGGATCCCTGGGGCTCACTGGGCTAGCCAGGTAAGCCAATTGAAGAGTTCCAGGTCAATGAATCCTTAAAAATATGGTGGACCATCTGGGGAAAACACTCAATGGTATAGCCTTGCTTTGCAAGCCTGAGAGAGAAGCATGGGTGAGTGGGCAGGAGCTCGTAATCCCAATGCATGGGGTGCAAAGGCTCAATTATATATATTCATCTCAAAATATTAGGTAGAAGAGCAATCAAGGAGACACTCAGTGTCAACCTCTAGCCTTCACACACTTGCATGCAATTACACACAGCCATACACAGGCATCATACACCACGCATGTGCACACAAGCACACACACACCCAAAACTTAACAACCAAAGGAAGAACACTTCTTTAAGTGTCATGCAGTTAGTCATTCAGATGTCACAAATGAACCAACTTCATTCTGAAAAGCCAAACCCAGGCTTATTCAGTTAGAGATGTGAGAAGTGCTCCCACCAAGCCTGCGTCCTCCGTGATGCCTTCCCCATCCTGGGGCCAGCCTTCTCTGAGGTCGTTTGAGTGTGAGCCCTGCTCATAGCTGGCTGGGTAAGCATCCTTGTTCCAGAGCTCAGAGAGGAAATGCCAAGTCCTAAAAAGTCCAGGCCAGACTTTTTTGGGGTTCTCAGGGTGAGATGTCCTCATGTTATGCCCACAGGTGTAACAAGAGAGTCTCAGAGCCACATGGTACTTTGCAGTTCCTGATGTCCTGCAAATAGGACAAGCAGACCCTCACCCTGGCTGTAACACCACCAGTTCTCATCTGCTGACTTATGCAGGGTGCTAAAGGCATCTGTACAGTGAGAGTCCTACATTGCCAAGCCTTGTGGGACCTGTGGGTTTGCTACCGAAGCACATGAACCTCTGGGTCTGCCAATGGCCTTACACTGAGACAGTTAGACTCTGAAGGTGATGAAGGGGTCCCTGTGCTGCTCCCCGGAGCCCAGCCTCATGCTTTCTTCTATTTAGTTATTTACTTCTAGTGTGCTAAGATGGCATCTCTCCCTCTAGCCCAAACTGGGTCACAGGCATGGGCCAGTGGGCTCTGCTCAAATAAAACCCGTTTTATTAGCAGAAAGGGACATACATAGCTTCTTTTCCTCCCCCAGCATTTTCACATGTGTATAAAATGTGTTGTGATCATAGTTCCCCCTCTTGCTCACTCTTCCCTGACTCTACCCCTCTGATCCCTCTTCCAAACTAGCTGTCCTCCTCCTCTCTGTTTTTTTTTCTTTTTCCTCCTTTTTGTGTTTGTGTGTATGTGCACATGTGACATTTTATGTTTAATTAGGGCCTCTCATCTGTGCACGGGGTAGTTATTTACTGGGGCATGGCATGAGCAGTTTACCAGTGGCTACACCCCTGAAGAAAATGTTCCTTTACCCCAGCAGCCATTAGCTACAAATCATCCCTCAGAGAGGGCTGAGGCTTTGTGAGCCTCTCCCCCATCCATTCTGGGCTGTGGAAAGATCCAGTCCTGCAGAGATCTTCTGAGAAGTTTCCTGGGCCTTGAGGGGGAGGTGATATAGGTGACCTCTCTACAGGCCATTGACTCTTGAACTAGAGTGGTTAGGTGCCGCTCTGCTGAATGAAGAAGGTGCTGAGTGGCTGTGTCTCTTCCCCAGGCAGGCCTTCTCCTGTATCTCCTGGGAAGTAGTGGAGGCCACATGTGCCTGCCTGCTGGCCCAGGGGGAGGAGGCAGAGCAGGAGCGCTGCTCCCCAAGCTTGGCTGAGCAGATGGTCCTGGAGGAGTTTGGAAGGTGCCTGTCGCAGATTCTCCACATCGAGTTCAAGTCCAAGGGGCTGAAAATTGAGTAGAGTGCAAGCTGGTAAAGGGGAATGCCTGTGGCAAGCCTCAGCCCTGGGGAGTCTGCACCGAGGAAGCTGGTGCGGAGGGAGGAGCAGGAGGCCCCGCATCATGGCCAGGTCAGCTGTGAGGTCTGAGTGATCTGCGTGGTATTGGCCAGCCTATTCAAGGCATCCTAAAGTGCAAGCAAGCAGAGCTGCCCTGGGGATGGACACTGGCCCTCTTGTCCCTGGGGAGGCCTTCTAGGGACCCCCTATCCTGCATAAGAAGAGGGTGGCTTTCTGCTTGTTGTTATATGCTTGCTTTTCAAATCGCTTAGTACCTCCATTCAAGTTGTTATGAGCCGGCTGTTATGAGCCGGCTTCAAGAGAGCTAGTCTCCACAGGTGGACTCTGCCCAAGTCACATACAGGTCAGGTGGCCAGCAGGGGTCTACCAGGCCAGGCCTATGACAGGAGATGTGGGAGGGGGGTCAGGTTGGAGCTGGGTTTGTTTGGGTTTTTGTTTTTCTGTATTTCTGCTTGAAGTGGGAAAACTTGTCTCCTGTCCAAATCCTCTTCTCCATAATTACTGCTGCACTGTCGCCTGCAGACCAGTCACAGTGACCTCAGACATCAGCAGGTGAGGTGGGACATTATGCCCACACTTTGTGTTTTGTTATGAGAGTAAGCCTTTCCAGAGTCCCAGTTGGAACTAGGTTAGTAGCTGAAAATATATTTGTCTTAATACCCACTCTGGACTCCATGGAGACCATCCTTTCTGGAGTCTATGGGAAACGTTCATGAGTCCAGTGGCACTGCCACCTCATCACCTGGAGAGGGTTAGGAAACCTGGACACTGACAGGACTGTGTTGGAGGCTGTGAGAAGTCAGGAGCTCACTGAGAAGGAAAGGACTGGAGATGGCTCCGCAGTAAAGTGCCTGTAGCACAAGCCTGAGGACCAGAGTGTAACCCAGAGTCTGTGTTACAGATGACACCCTACCCTCGCCCCCATAGCCCAAACAAACAACAGAAAAACAAAGGAACAGACACAGACTTGTGATCCCAGTGCTGGTGAAGTAGAGGCGATCCCCGGGACTCACTGGCATAGCCTTATTGGCAAATTGAGGTGGAAGAAAGCCTAGCTCAAGAGACAAGGTGGACAGCTCCTGTATACATGTGCCTGTGCACTGACACACATGAACAAACACACCAGGAAGCAAAGATCTAGACAAGTTGGAAGTTGGTAAGGGGTGACTGGACAGCTGTGCACTGCTGATCCAGAGGCTGGGTTGCCATGGCAGTGGCTGCAGGAACTCCTGGAGCCCTGGTGTCAATGGCCTTGCTGAAGTCTAGAGATTAGGAGGCTCTGATGAGCTGGTTAGCTCCCTAGAACTAGAGTGACAGCTTTCTATTAGGGTTCCCCCACCACTGAAGCCAGGGAGAAGGAAGGCTGCCACTTAACAAGGTAGCCCTGACAGATCCCTGGACTGTGTGCCAGACGTTGGGAGGGACAGGTTGGAGGGCTGAGTTGAGATAAGGCTGGCCTAGTTGCTAGCCTAGAGAATTGGGGATGGAAAAACATGATGCTTATGCCCTAGACAAGAGGGAGCAAGGCTAGAAGGGTGCCACATAGGGTAGGCTTCTGGCTGGGGGGCTGACTGGAACAGCCAAGGTGCCATCCTTCTGGGGACTCTTTTTGAAGCACAGTATGGCCTCCAGATCTGCCTTGACACTCAGCAGGGCCCAGTAATCTGTATTCTGTAAACCTCGGGGTCCAGATGCCTGCTCAAGTCATAGTTAAGAAGTGTGGAAGGAAGAGTAAGGGGACCTGGAGAAATGACTCAGTGGATAAGAACCCTTGCTTCTCTTCCAGAGGGCATGAGGGTGTTTCCTAGCACCCATGTTGGGTAACTCCTGACCACCTGTAGATCCAGCTCCAGGATTCCTGAAGCCTGCACACACATGCACACACATGCACACACATGCACACGGCTCCCTCCTTTAGGGACTTTAAAGAAGAGTAAAGAGTAGGAAGGGGGCCGAGTGGTTTAGTTCAGCAGACAGTCTTCGTGAGTGTAGCACCTCACCTGGGAGTAGGAACTGGGTCTGACTCACAAGAGTATATGAGAGGGATTGGCTGAGCCTGGGGACACCATGCTGGCATCAGCCAGTGTCCCTTGAAGGGACAGGGAAGTAGGGTTGCATTTGCTATGAGGTTGGATTCACCCTTGGTGTGGAGCCTCCATGGACTTCCTTTAGTCTCCCCTGTTCTGCAAAGGACCCACATAGGCAGCCAGATGAGCCATTGCTGGCAGCCTGTCCTCCAGCCAGGGAGACTCAGGAGATAAGGCTCAGTTCTGTCTATCATGTGGGTACCTGGCTCTCCTGTCACCTGGTTTCTTCTCTGATTGGGTATTATTTGTTTTCTGCTCGGCACCAGTTCTTCCTGTCTCCATAGCCACTGCTGCAGGTGGGCTTGTACCCATTCGTGCCTTTGTTCGCCTCAGCAGCACACCAGACAGCTGCATCACACTGAGCTGAGCATCAGACTACTGTTCCTGGGCACAGCAAGAGCTGACAGGTGCCCTGCAGTCCTTGTGGAATTCGGGCTTAAACCTTACCTAATGCATGGGTGGATGGCTACCATTACCTTTTAAAACACACTATGGGGAGCCAGAGAGATGGCTCAGTAGGTAAAGGCAGTAGGTCTGTGGATCTGAGTTCAGTACACAAGGTGCATACATGCATGTGCATACACAAAATACAATAAGCAACCACACTGGAGGTGGCAGTGATAGACTGCAGCAAAGAAGAACCAAACAGTCCCAGATACTTGCTAGTTTTTATTATATCACATAATATAATTACACCAATCAAAACATCTTAATTATAATAACACAGCATCAAAGCAGAAAACAGACGGTTGGCTTGAGGAGTTGGCAGAAGATTCTTCTTAGCCTAGAATGACTTTAAATTATAGCACAGGACACACATGCACAGAAGGCGTGGTCTCAGGACTGCTCTAGGTCTTCTGAGGAGGTGGCCAAGGGGATGCCAGGCAGGCTGTCGAGGGCCCCGGCCTCTAAATAAGAATAGCCGTCAGGTAGTTAGTGTGAGAGAGAATCAAATCGCAATACCTTTGGAGAGGGGTGAGTTCTCACTGTGGCGACTCTAATTTGGGAACAGCATCTGAAGGACTGTCTACTCTTCAAAGAAGGCAGGCCATTAGAGGTGTGAGGCTGGTACCCAAGAACACTTTCTCATGAGATCAAAACTAAATGGAAGCTCAGAACCCCAGCCCTTTGTAAGAGCAGCCATGCAGAGATTTCTGGAAAGGCCTAGAAGCTCTCTAGAGGCCTGGGACCTGGAGCTGAAGGCTCTAACACCATCAGTTCTTGCAGTCTCCCTGTCCTGAGGGATGCTTTCCCCTTTGTAAAGACTTTATTTCATTTATATGTTGTGGTGTGTATGTTGTGGGATGTGTGTGTATGATGTGTGTAGGTGTGTATGTTGTGGGATGTGTGTGTATGATTGTGTGTGTGTGTATGTTGTGGGATGTGTGTGTGTGGGGGGGGGAGTCTCCATGTCCTCAAAGCAGATCTGCTGAAGCTGAAGCTGAAGTTACAGGAGGTTGCAAGCCACCTGACCTGGGTACTGGGGACTGAGCTTGGGTCCTTTGGAAGAGCAGCAGATGCTCTCAAGTACTGGGCCATCCCCTCCATCCTGCACCCCTCATCCCCCATCCCCATTTTTAATCTACTGCCCTTCAGCTCCCTCTTAGAAGGGCAGAAAATTGAGGAAATGCTTCCTTCTAGAGCTGACCTGCCAGGCACTGTGCTAACACAATATGGCTTCTCGTGGCCTCACAGGACTGGGCATGAGGCATACTATACCCTAAAAACCACTGTGCCAGAAATAGGGTCCAGGAGAGTGACATGTCCAACTTCACTTTCTCCCCACATCAGCCTGGTAACACTCAGCCCCAGCACAGGATGTTTGAGTGTGATGAGCCTCAGTCCTAACACAGGACATAGGGTAACAGATACTTCCCTTCTCACTTTTGTCCTGCCAGTACTAGGGATAGGTGTAGCCCAGGACGCCATTTTAGATGGAAAACACTCCCATACCTTTAAGGTGCAAGAAACTGAGAAACTCCATTATAGTGCGGACGATGTTGCGCTCAGGCAGGGGCACATCAGCACTTCCTAGACAGTGGAAAAGAACCATGATCACGGCGTGCTTCCTTACCACCCTCTTCAAAGGCCAGGGAGGCTGTCTGAGAGCTGGGGACATCCTAAGCCATCCAGGGCCTTTCTAGAGAAGTGGAGGGGTCCTGGGCCAGCTCTTCCAGGGGCCTCTGTGGCCAGGTCCCTTGTTGTAGCTGCATGCTCCAAGACTTTGCTCCCCAGTCCTGGCAGTTGAGAGGTGTGTGAGGCTGCAGGCTCTTAGGCCTGGCTAGGGCACCCTTAGGCTATGACTGGAGGAGGAGGGTGGTGGGTGTCACCACCATATGCCCTCATGCACCTGGAAGTCCTAGGAATTATGGCATGTACATTTGGGACCCAAGCCTTACCTAGTCTTCCTTCCTCCGCTTCCAGTTGTAACTCCCTCTTGCCTGTGAGGCCATGCTTGTCGCTAAATGATCTGTGGTTGTCAATGGCATCTGTTTGCAGACCAGAGAGGGAGGATCTGTCACTGTGGTGCATCCCATTTCCAACCCCAGGAGAAGACCCACACACAGCTGGACCACCAGCATAAAGCCAAGTGTGGGAGCTCCAGCAGAGGATAGCAGTGTCTCCAGGGGGCACTGCCCAGGGCTCCAGGCAGGCTTTGCTTCTCAAAGGACGACCACACATCTGCAGCATGAATGCACGGCTTCAAGCAGACTCTAGGGCTGAGAAGCACAGGCCCCTCTCCACTGTCCCCTCCATGCTGGTGGACTGGAAATAGGAGCTAGGTGGATGTATATTTTGGCTCCACTCATGTGTCAGGGGACAGTGAGTGAGTACTTATGGCAGACAGGAATCTCAGATCCAGCTGTGCATGTAAATTTAAAGGTGGAAACTAACTAGGCAGCTCTTAGGAGGGAGCCACTGTCTTCCAGCCCAGTCTCCTCCTTTGGAACAGTTTATATCTGAAGACATTAATGCAAGTCACAAACATCCAGGACACCAACTAGGGGCCAGGGCAGGGAGAGAGTGTATGTGGTGGTGGTGGTGGTGGTGGTGGTGGTGGTGGTGGTAGTGGTGGTAGTGGGAGCACCAGACACTTCTGTCTTTGAGCACCACCTTTCCTCTCTGGCTGCCTCTTGCTGCAGAGCTGTACACCCTGCCCCCCAGATGATTCCATATCCCCAAGCAAAATCCTTGTCTCTGTGGTCACATGTGAGAAAGCATTCTCACTACACAGAAACAACATCAAACTCAAAAGGCAATCACTAGTCTTCTGCATCGTGACAGCATTGGGATGCAGAGGGATGAACCATGGACACACTGGGTGCTCTGCCCCACCCCACTCCTTGAGCATCTGTGAGCTGGCAAAGTCCGCAGATTCTAACCCTCCCCAGCTCTGGATGGAAAGAACTGGAGTAACAGAGGTCAGAGCAGGACCTATGCCGCAGGACAAGACTAGTGTTAGTGTAAGATGCTGGTCTGACAGTGGGGCTGAGACTGGGGAGCAGGTCTGAACAAGAAAGAAACCAGCTCAAGTGGGTCTCAAGGTGGGGTATCTGGCTATCTTCAGTTTGTAACAGTTTCCTACCAGAGCTCAGAGGACTGCTTCAGGATACTGTGAAGTGGGAGAGGGTGTTTAGGGAGACCTGGGGACTCAGCCCAAACAGAATTCCAAGGAGACCTGAAAGACTCCTCCAGAAAATTTGAATAAAGCCCCACAGAGGGGTGAGGTGGGGAAGTCAGTAAAAGAAACTTCTAGAAGGAGCAGGTGCTAAGGTTAAAGGTGCAGATCAGTGATGGAAGGTGCCTGGTGAGCCTGGGGGATGTCTGATGCAGAGTGTCAGGGCAGGTTTCACAAGTGGAAGGGAAAGGAGGTTCAGGCCAGAGGAGGCTCTCAGAGGCTCCACCTAGACAGCAGGACGATAGGCACTGGGGTTCCCAGGAGGCTGGTGTGGATGATGTCAGGAGACCCCAGGAATGAGCTCATTTGCTATGAATAAGAGTGGAGGCCTGGAGGAATCAGGCCTTTCAGGGAATGAGAAAGCCCCCCTCCTCCACCCCTGCCTTCCCCACAATGCAGCAGGTGTTTTAAGTCTGCATCACAGCCAGTTAGGCTAATGGAAACCCACAGTCCCCAAAGCCACATGGGAATGCCCCCTGCTTCTTTGCATCTGAGAGTAAATAGGCTATGAGAACAGTGCCTGGCTCCCATGGTCACATCAGGACACACAATCCAGCCTCAGCAAGCCAGCCCTGCATCACTCACGTGGGCCCAGAAGGTAGCCAGCGCTGTTCAGGGTCCAGCCTCTCTTCTCCTTTGCCTAAATCAGGATGACAGGGGGAGGTGTCAGACAGCCCAGGTCCCTGGGCTGAGGGGCAGAGTAGCCTGTGCTTGGCTCCCCAACACAACACAGAGCAGAAATCTGGGCATCCACGCTGCCTGGAATGACTGTATTTGACCTGAACACACTACTGTGTACACTAGTTCTAGGTCCACTAATGCTCAAGCCAGACCAGGGCTCAGTGGCTGATAACCCCAGTGTTGTCTTCAGAGCCAGGTGACAGGCTTACTTCCAAGCAACCCCAGGGCTGAGGTCTGTGCCACCAGCACCCTCAGGCTTCAGGAGAGGTTAGTCTATCACAGGCATTGGCCCACAAATGGGAGCCTTTCCCTTGCTGTTCTGTTGAGACAGCACTTTATATAGCCCACACTGGCCTAAAAATATATGGAGGGGAGGTCGGCCTTGAACTTTTGGTTTTCCTGCCTCTACCTCCCTTCTGAGTACTAGGATTGCAAACCTGGCCATGAATGGAACCCTTTTGAACCTGGGCCCAGATGGTCTTCAGCCCTTCTCCTGGGCCTCTCCCCACCCTCCAGCAGCTTCAGGGACATGCCCACTACTCCCACCCCTGCTATGGGGACAATCAGATCTGACACCTTTAGTCCTCTTTACAGGTCGACTGTCCCAAGAACTTACTGGCATCCCAAGCCCCAGAGTGGCTGACAGGGTCGCAACCAACAGGAGCCAGGCTAGCAGGATAACGCTGCCCCTGGCCATCTGGAAGGAAAGAAGTGGATGAGTTGACACCACCTGAGCAGCCCTGCACACACACACACACACAAACACACACACACACGTTAGGGGGCACTTGGGCTGCGAACTGCGATGGCATCGGCGTGGGAGTGGCGGGATGATGGGGACAGAGCTGTGAGGGGTACAGGGGCAGCGATGAGGCAGCCAACCGCAGGAGGACTAGGACCTGGCAAGCCTCGGTGGGACGCAGGTACCTTGAGCAGCGATGGGAACTGGGCGTGGCTGGTCAGTGCAGGTCCAAGTGTCTCGCTCAGTTCAGGCGTGGCGTAGAGGGGAGGCCGGGAGGGTCGCTTACTGCATGGCGCAGCTCAGCGGCGTGGGGAAGCGCACGAGGATCCCTCGACGTGTCCGCGGCAGGAGCTGGCGCTGCTGCCGCTATTTATGCCCGGTGGGAGCTGCCGCGTCACCCGCTCAGCGCCGCCTCCTGCGAGTCCCAAGGGCCGCTGTGACCAGAACCTGCTCCCGCTCCCCTCCCGGGGCTCAGGAGAGGACCACCCACAGTCCCAAACCATCACCCAGCCAATCCTGCATCACAGAGTCACTCCCCACTGCTCCGCCCCATGCTCACACAGAGTGAGTCTCCACACTCCCATCCTGAGGCCGGCGGGAAGTCTTGCTCTCCTTCCCAGGGATGGGGCTGGAATGGACCACTTCAAAGCCCAAGCAAGGCCAGTCACAGACACCTGAGAGATCAAATTCCCAGGTCCTGCTTTGCACCTGGATGTGACTGTAGCTTCCCTACCCTGGTCCAGGGTCTTACGCTCCTGTTTTGCTGTGTGGGTGGGGAGTGGGAGCGTAGCCATTCAGGGCTGAGGGCAGGGTAGAGGGTGGCTGGCCGCTGTGCAACGTCCCTCCAGCTCCCCAACCATCCGTTTTCTCTTGGAGCCCCCTCCTGAGTGGGCTCTGTCATAGCTGTAGTTGAGTCCTGCAGAGTCCCAGGCCAGATTCTTCCCAAGGGGCAGAGCTGTCTGCACCCTGGGAATTTGGCCACTTGTGCAGGACAGCACACAGACACACAGACACACAGACACACACACACACACACACACACACACACACACACACCCTGAGATCACACCTCAGGACAGACACAGGGCTAGAAACTCCGGACTCCCAAAGTGTGAGATATTTCAACCAGGTACAGCTCTCTGACGAACGCCTCAGCCTTTGAGACTCATGGAGAGCACTCTGTCACCTGGCTCAGAAGTGGACCCCACTAGTATTGTCAGCCAGGTCCTGAGAAGTCTGTACTCACAAAGGAAGAGAGTTCTGCTCCTGGCTTACCATGGCTCCATTGCTGGAACAAGCAGCAACATCACATGAGATGGTCACTCAGGCTAACCTCAATGTCTTGACCTTGTGCACAGGAGTTCCCCTCTTCCCCTGAGACCCATCTGGGACCCCAAGGTGAGCAGAATACAAGGCAAATGATGAATGCTAATTTAACATTCTAAGTGTCCCCACACTAGACTTAGGAGGCTGTGCAGACTTAGGCTATTCCTGGAGACCCACAGGGACAGGAAGGCCACAGAGTGCTAGAAGACTCTGGGGCATCAAGCCTGAGTGTGTGTGTGTCATGGCTCACATGTGGAAGCCAAGAGACAACTTTGTAAAGTTCTCTCCTTTCATATTTATGTGGATCTGGGAATTTGAACTTGGGTCTCCAGGTTTGTACTGAGTGTGTTTACCCACTAAGCTGTCTTGCTGGCCCTCCTTCTAACAAAATGATACTTTGCCTCTGAGTCAACCCTTTTCTTGAAAATGTTCAAAACCAATAGGTGGACAATACTCTACTGCCCACATCTCCCAATTTCTCCAGGAAAATCCAACCTCAGGCAGGTGAGGGTCTCAAGCCCCGCTGGAGTCTCAGCAAGGGGAGATGGATGTGCCTGTCACACTGGCCACTGGCTGAGATCTCTGCCAGCTGACCAGAAGGCAGAGCCCCAGAGTGACCCCCCTGCTCAGAAGCAGCCAGGGAGGAGGGCTGAGTAGAACGAGCAAGTCTGCCCATAGCCAATGAGAACATCTTGAAAGACTGGAAGCTAGACACAGCAGCAAGGGCCTGCAGCTCAGCTGCCCCAGCTAAGGCAGGGTGGAGTCGAGCCTAGAACTTCAAGGCCAGCCTGGGCAATGTGGCCAGACACCATCTCAAAAAGTAAATAAAATAGTTTTTTTTTTTTTAAAGAGGAGCCAGACCAAGGCTGGCCACGGCTCCCACATGCCTCACAGGGAAACCAGACATGTCCATAAGCATATACTTGAGTGTGGTGAATTCGTTTAAAGAGGACAGCAAGCTAGGCGTGGTGGTCTGCACTGTAATCTCAGCACCTGGAAGGCAGAGTAGCAGGAGTTGTAAGTTTACTCTTGGCTCTACAGCTCCAGGCTAGCTTGGAATAAATGAGGCTCTGTTAAAGCAGGGAGGGGTTATGGGGGGGGGGGGTTCAGGCCAGACTCAAAGCTCACCCTTCAATGCCACTCCATCCAGGGTATTTCCACCACATTCGGTGGCCACTGATGTCACTGCTCCCCACTTTGGTTGGATGAGGGGACTCCTCTCTAACTCTGAGAGTGTGACTGGCTCCTCCTGGGGAAACAATGGGAGGAGGGAAGACAGGAACAGGAGGGGCTGTGACTCCCCATATCACTGACAGACTCACTCCTACAAATGAGGACAGGGTGCAGGATCACAGGCCTCTGCCTCCTGGTACACACTGTGCTGGAACCCACGGCCTGCTTCTAATGGGCTCCTCACTCAGCAATGACCCAGTGGAGTCACCGTCAACTTGTCATCTTCAAGGCAGCCCAGTGTGGAGCTAGCAAAATGGGTCACCATTAGACTAATGGACACGGCACACGAAGCACCGTTTCCTACCTGTAAGTCCAGACTTCCTCAGAAGCCCTGCTGGCTGATGCCTGCTGCCGAGAAAAAAACACCCAAATCTGAATACCAAAGAGAGCTAGGGGCTGATGGACAGAGCCCCATGTGGGAGTGTGTCTCAGCAGTGCTGAGATATTGTAACTGTGGGCCTGAAATCAACAAGGGACTTGCCCCCATGGGGATTCCAGTCTGGTGCAGACCTAAGTCCACAACAATTCTCTGAATAACTACTCGGTTATCACCAGAAGGGCTGTAGATTCAGGGAGCCAGACCTAACAGGCAGGTACATCTGTCTGGGTGAGCCAGGGCTCCACACTCTTCAAGTGGAGGGCAGCTCGTGGGTATATGAATATGCCTCTTCTCAGTTTTCCTTCTTCCTTCTGCCTGGAATTTGAAGGTGGGGGCTCGAGAGGAGCAACCGTCTTGGAGCCCAAGGTGATGACAGCCAGACTAATGGAGCAATGCTTGTGGGTACCTGAAACTCAGTCCTGCGCTGCCAGCCTCTAGGCTTGTTTCAGAACAGAGGGAATGTCTCCTTTTTTGTTCAAGGCCTTGCTATTTTGGAGTTTTACTTGGAGTTACTATGATCAGCATCTTCCATGAAGCACTCACCCAGTGTCTGATGGATAAATGACCACATATAAGCAAATGGAAGAACAAGTCATCCATCGTCAATGGTGCTGATGCTGGGAAGATGGACTCGATCAGGGAGGGAGAGGCTGGGGAGAGCTGCCAGACAGATAAGCACCTCTGCACCTCGCCGTGACCTCATTGTGACTGGAAAAGCAACGAAAGGAATGGTGAGGTGATCTAAAACTGGCTGATCTTCACCCCGGAGATGCCTGTGCCCTTAACTCTCTCTTCCTACGGTTTCTAGCTGGTTCCTTCCATCTGACCCCAGTGTCACAGAGGCCATTGGGGAAAAGTCTCCAGGCTTAGTTCTCTCTGGAGAAAACAGTAGCTGGGGCTGGGGTCTGTGGTACAGGAATAGCACAGGAATAGACCACATGATTAGAATCCCCCACCGAGGGGCTGGGGGTGTGGCTCAGTGGTACAATCCTGTCAGGCACCCACAAGCTATATAAATAAAACATTACAATGAAACAAAATATCACCTTGGGAAAATGTTAACTAAAGCCAGATGTCAGCAGATAGAACTGAGCCATCCTGTGAATGTTTGAGTACCTGTACTCAGTTGTCCAGCAAAACTCTGTTCCACAGCTTCAAAACACACATAAAAGCTGGCCCATGTTCCTTCATATAAATAGCGGGTGTTTTCCTTGCAGGTTGTGGTGGTGGCCTTGAGGGGTGGTGTGCAATCTGAGGAGGAAAGCCTCAGGCCATTTGCTAATGTTCAGTTAAAGAAGTTTTTATTTTTTTAAAAGTCTTTACATTTGTATTTATATTTTTATGTGCATAGGGATTTTGCCTGAGTGTTTATGTATGCCAAGTGCATGCAGTACCTTCGGGGACCACATGGTGGAGTCAGTTCCCCCAAATGGGAGTGACGGGATTGTGAGCAGCCACAGGGATGCTGGGAGTCGAACCTGGGTTCTCTGGAAGAACAGCTGTTTCTCTTAACTGGTTAACATCTCTCCAGCCCCGTGCTGGTTTCTATGTTAATTCTGGGGTGTCTGTTTAATGTATGGTTCATGGGGGGGGGGGTGTTTATGTGTATAGGCGAGTCCAGGTGAGTGTGCATGTGGAGGCCTGTGGTTCCTCCAGGACCTGCCCACCTTGCTTTATTTTGTTTTGTCTTGAGACTTGTTCTCTCAGTGGGATCTGGAGCTTGCAAATTAGGCTCTACTGATTAGACCCTGAGCCCTGAGGCTCTGCCTCCTGTCTCCCAGCAGTGGGATTACAAGTGTGCACCATTTATGCCCAGGGTTCTTATAGCTGTCAGGGATAGAATGCAGTCCCTTGATTACGCAGCAACCAGTTTATTGACCGATCTCTCCCTAGCCCCTATTAACATACATTAATTATGTATAAATGACGGGCTTCATTATGACATGTCTGTACATGTATATAATGTATTTTGGTTATATTTGCCTCCCATTAGAAAATTCTGTCCTTAAGAAGCTTCTGGAAGATGGTTCTTCACTTCTACCCAATTTTAAAGGCCTGGGGGCATTCAGCTGTGGCAGGGCTTTGTGGTGAGGTCCTTTGTGTGGCCCTGGATAGGTACCATGGCTCCGAGGCTGGAAGGAGAGAGACATGCGACATGGAAGGACCTGGTAACCACTGTGATCTGCTTTAGGTGGGGCTTTAAGGCAATATGTTTCCTGGGCCAGGGCAACACCCCTTCTTGTGAAACCCCTCCCAGAACAGTTGCCTTGCCCACAGCAACTCTGCCCACTGGCCTTCCCACCAGAAAGGAGCTTTGAGGGCTGAGTCTTCCCTAGGAACTATAGAGATGATCAGGTACACACCCCCTCCTGGTAGTCTGGGATTCCACCGGCACCCTGGGGTGACTCACCAGCTCAGCCTGGAGCAGAGAGCTGCTGCCGAGCAGGTCACTGCCCACGGTGGAGGCTGAGGTAATGG